CGCGTCCCCCATCTAGCGCCGCATGCCCCGTGGCGGCAGTAGCTGCCTGGACCGCCCGAGTTGCGGAGGCTCCAACCCCCACCCCAAATGTGTTCGCCCCAGCGGCGAATCCGCTCCCCCCGCCTCCCGACTGCGCTGAGCTGAACCTCTCGACAACAAGTCCAAGACGCGCTAGCTTATCCGCATAGTCCCCAAGAAAACGCTCCCCGGCGCAGAGGCTTCCCATGTCCGAGTCGGGGAAACACATGGCCCACGTTTTGAGCGGCAGACCAACGCGCGACATCGGCCGCCAGTGCTGCGTGAGCACTTCAAGGACGGCACTTGCAACGCCAGCCTCCATCATGACATCCTTGACGTCACGCTGGAGATCAGGGAGGGGGCGGCCGACCGGGGTGCTCTTGACAATGAGCATAAGCTCGGAGATCAAAATCTGCTGCACAAGTGCGGGTTTTATACCCCGACGCCCACTTTAAGGTACACGAGTACGGGTGGGGTTAGTTTGGTGGTTAGGGTGGGTTCGGGTGCGGAGCAGGTGAGTTTGTTCTTAGGGATTTAGTGTTGGTTAAACCACCACCCAGTAGTTACATATACGGCCGGGATGCCGGCCGTCCTCAGAACTTGAACTTCAAGTCCGAAGTTCAAGTTCTACTCATGGGCGCACACATTTGGCACTTGAAAAGGGCTCTCATCTCGCTGTAAGAATGTACAAAACATGGTTTTCAATGGCGGTGCCAAGCCCAGTCGCCCCAAAGAGGCCTTGCAGGAAGGCGCCAGGCTTTTCAGCTCTCAAAACCACCAAAAATAGCTCCTATAGGCTGAGAGTAGCTTTGTAGGGCCTCCAGGCCTTGTTTTTGACGGTTTTCAGAGCTGGAAAAGGGAGCGCGTTCCCACGGGGCCTGTTCCTAGCGACCAGGCTTGACACCGCTGGATTTGGTGAAGGTTTGATACAGATTTCAGGAAGAGGAACCACCATTTCGAGTGTTCAAGAAGATGCGCCCCAGGGTCGCAGTTTGAATATTACGATCTCGACGACCGTTGGCAGGTTATGCCACGTCAGCATTTTAATTTGCCCGATTATAAAGTCTCGGTGGTGGTTTAAGCCAAGAAATTGAGTACTTTCAGTACCTAAGATCCTTATTATTATTAGAGTTTATGGTTATCTGCACACGCCCCAATGCGGCCCCATGCCTTTGATACGCACGGGCTGATCATTGGATGGATACCGGGGAAGTAGGTATCCATACCGGTATAGCCTGTAGGTATGAAACTGGCTGCTGGCACCAGCTGCTGCCGGTTTCAAGTGGTTCATGGTCGACGTTTTGCAGATCAAGCAAAATCCTGAAGGCTGCCATCTACGTATGCAACCAAAATCCTCAATATACCGTATGCTTATAAATTTGACGAGTTGGTCGCTTTTGGGGGGTGCATTCCAGGCTCAAGTTGGGAGGGGGCCGGAGATGCAATCAAATATCGGCGCATCAAGCCGATTCAAGGACCTTGCAACTCCCTTGCAAGTTGCAGGTAGATACCTAGGTAGCTTTGCAAAATGCAATTCAGCCACAATTCCAGCCTCAATTCCAGGTTCCTTTCATGCATTCAATGCATTTGCAGTTCTGCCTTGTGGTGAAGGCACAGAGACATAGAGCAGCAGCCAGCTTCGTACAACTTACTCGCAGCAACATGCAGCAGCTCTCTTAGATCATCTAAGTTTCTTTCCGGGTCTAACTGCACAGATTGTGAAGATGGATGTCCAGGTTGTGAGCCGGCGGTCGCTGATTCAAGGGACGCAAATTGAACGCTGCGCACACATCAGGGGTGCACAATGCCATCAATTAGCAGCGTGCTTGAGCGGCAGGTTCCAGGCTTCGACACAGCATGATCCAGTCGTTTCTTCTAAGAGCAGTCTGCGGATCATACCACAAATCAGCCTCCATTCACGAGATCAGCATGCATTTATTAGCTCAGTCCGCCCTCAGGCAGGCAGCAACGCTGCAAGAAGGGGCACCATCCGGGCGGTGCAAACTAGAGAGAGGGGGTCTGGAGGCCCCCCCGGAGATCAGCAGCCGCCAGGGCCCCCAGGGCAGGGGGGGGACATGTCGTATCTCGGGATGTGGAAGGCCGCTAGGGACAGGAAAGAAGCTGATAGGAAGCGGCAGGATGAGGAAGAGATTAAGGCCAGGCTAGAGGCGGAGGAGGCAAGGAGAAACCAGGTAGATCTGCGGGATCGGCAATACGCTTTTTTCCCCTTCCTAGGTGACATTGTATTGCAATCCATGCTTTAGGTGCTTCGTTAGGCATCATGCTAGATCGAACGCCTGAAGAATGCAGTAAGGAGAGCGTAATTTATGGTTTTGGCGATTCACAGATCAATCGATTTGGTGGGCACAGGAAGAGGGACTTCTTACAACTTGGACCCTAACTCCTTAAGTATCCATTCAAAAGGCGGCTATACAGGCTTAATCAAAGACGCAGATACCTTTACGCTTTGATAATCTGACATTTCTGGTGGTCTGTCGCCAACATAGCACCGACGCTGACGTAGCAAAATTCACTGGGCGAGCAACCATCAAGAACTTTATTCACATGACACAATCTGGAGGGACTGGACTACCAGCGATTGTCCTGAAAGTGACCAACTCTTTTTTCAACAACCTCCATAGGTGCCCTCTCAGAACGTCCTGCTTGTCAGAGGCCGGCTGCAGCGGACTTGATTAGCTTTCCTTATTTCTGCATTCAAGAATTTTCCATAAAGTTCCCCGGAAAATGTCAAATCCTGGCATGGCCATCCCTGTAGAACCCAAGCTGGCTATTCGGTCCCATGGCCATGGCTTTTGTCTTCAGGGCTAGGAGGGGAGGTACTCAGGCTAACCGCCGCGTCCACCATCAGAAAATCAGACACCTCAACGTGTTAGTTTCATCATCCATCAAGCCACCCTATTTTTGAGCCCAGTTATGAATCTACCGACACAATGTTCCTGGGACTTCCGCAGATCGACAAAAAATCATTCTTTTGTGCAAGACGCTGAGTATCCCGAGGGGATTGCTCAGAGTCCTCAATAGACCAGCGGAATCGTCACCCAATTTTTGTGTCTGTACTCCCATCAGGACACAGAGGCCAGCCAGCGCCGCCGACGTGAGCAGCAGTTCTCCAGCATTCTCTCCGTCCCCTCCGAGGAGCGCGACCGCGTCGAGCGCGCCCTCGTCCTCGACCGTGCCGCCGCCGCCATCGCCGCAGCTAACGCCGCGCTCGAGGCTGCCGACGAGGGCCGCCGCACCTGGTCCGCCGCCGCTCGTGAGAGACCGACCTCCGTCCCCAAAAGAAGCGTCTTTTTGGAGACGAGAGAAGGAGCGCTGACGCCTCTCGGCACATCGGGGGTGCTACTGACGAAGAAGCCTGGGGAGGACGCGGGGGCAACTAGACTGGAGCGTGGTTCTGGAGGGAGTGGCGGGGGGTTTTCAAAGGGGGGCGGAGGGGGCTCGCTCACGTTGGGGGAGGATGCGACGCCCGGGCCGGACTTCTGGAGCTGGACTCCGCCCGAGGGGGGTACGGACGGCAGTCGGGGGGCAGAGACGCCAATGCTGAAGAGGGCGGAGGCGCCCAAAGCGAGGCCGCAGCGGGAGACGATGGTGATGGACAGGCCGACGAGTAAGTTTCAGAAGGCGGCATGAGGCTGTACTGGTTTTGCTCTGGTTCCGGAGCATCCGATTTCCATTTTGTCCTTCTAGGGTGACGTACATTTTGTTTCTTCGCAATCTTTCAGTCTGCTCAACAGCATTGTGGCAGCGCCAGGGAGTCTTGGCACCCAGCTTACGCAACACGACTTGCAGAATGGTTTCGAAAGTTTCTTCGAAGTTCAGCTTACATCCTCTCAAAGGTTCGTACAAATTGACTATCCGTGTCTCATTGTGCCCCAAGTCGGATGAGAATGTCAATTGACCTTGGAAGGGGTTCAAAGATAGTCTCTGTTGTAGAAGCTTACCGGAGAAAGCTGACCTTTTGCCTCTTTCAAGAGAGACCTGACCCCTCCCCTCTCGTGCGCAGGTTTCCAGACGCTGTCGCTGCCCTTGCAGAGCCAATCTCAGGCGGAGAGCTCGATCACGAGCCTCCCTCCCCTGCAGTCCATGCTAGACGTTGCAGTTGGTCAAGAGGAGGGTGAGCGCACACGCCAAGAGCAAGAGCTAGCAGAGGCGCACGCCGAGCAGGCAATTCAGATGCCCGAGGGTTTGAGGGTTTTGGAGGAGGCGGGGGCGACTTCGGACAGCGGGGTGGAAGCAGACGGGACCAGGTGGGGCTGGTGTAGCACGACGGCATTTCTCTTTCGTGAAGACGTCATTGAGTTGGCCAGGTGTCGCTCTCCTATATCCTTGTTTAGGTCTTCTACTTGACCTTGGTGAACGGTGGGGTTGATGAGGTCGGTCGTAGAGGCGTGTTGCTTCTCTGCTCAACATCAATTGCGTCGATTAAGGGGAGGGTAAGTATCTTGATTTCCCACCGTTTCACGTGAAGCGCATTGCATGTTGGAATCGACGTTGAAGAAGTTATTTTTCGTAGGAGAATTATTGTCGTCGACCAACTTTTGTACTGTTGGGTGGTCGATATGGTCTTATTATTACGGCAAGCAATTGCACAAGTCCGACAGAGGTTGGTTGATGCACAGCGGTTGTCCCTCTCTAAGTAATAAAGGTGGCTCCTCAAAGGTAGAATTGTATAGCCTCTGTTGCTCAATTGCGGACGAGAAAAGTACGAATCAAGGGTCCGCCTAAAGATCTCGTATTTTCGACTGCTAGGTGGTGGAAGGAGACCGGCACCGAGGAGCGGGCGAACGGGGAGGTGTGCGTCTGGACGGTCGTTCGGGGAGTCAGTGCGGACGGCGCTACAGAGTGGGAGAACAAGTGGTGGGAGGTGAGGCACTCCACGTCACGTCATCGGGGCTCTTTCTTACATCGACATTCCCTGATGCATTTCATCACAGCAAAGTGGGTGCGAAAAGGTGCATATCGTGTTTGAGAATTAGTGTCAATAAGTACACTTTATGATTCGTGCAGAAGTTCGTTCAGGCGCAGTTGTCATGCGGTGCCAGCTTTGCCAGAAGCCTACCGCAAATCGTCTCTTGGAGAGCGGTGCTGAGCTTGGGTTAGATCTGCTAACGCGTTACCTGCACCATGAATATGCGACCAAAGTGTGGGACGCCAGGGCTCTTTGCGGTTCGCACACTTGGCACTATCAGTTCTCGGCCTCAAATCCAGAAACCCCTGTTCTCATCGCACTTCGTTGTTCAGGTGAGCGACGAGTTCGACTACAAAGAACTAGGCGCGGAGAAGTCTGGACGCGACGCGTACGGCGCAGTGTGGCGGGAGACGTGGAAGGAGGGCATGTGGAACGATGCCAAGACGGGGCTTCCGCACATCGAGAGGAGCGCCGACAAGTGGTCTCGGGCGGGTGATGGAGCGGAGTGGCACGAGAAGTGGTGAGCGCGGCTTTTGAGGATTTGGTACTCTGCACTGGAAGTAGATTGAAAGGCTTATATGTGGGTGTTGAAAAGAAGACAGTTGGGTGCTCAGCGCGAATGCATGGGAAGCTAGGAAAGTCCGGTCAATGCTGCGTAGCGGTCAAGAGCGGCCGATGCGCGCGTCACGCTCGTAGCTAAGGGGCCTTGTATATGCATGGCTGATCGAGTTTCTTTTGAGTCAATTTGCAGTCCACACCTCAGACTCCCAGCTTATGACCATATCCTGACGGAGCTGGGAATTCTGACGAGTCTGGTCATGCGACGGATTTCGTTTCTTTGAAGAGTCTGGCTGACCATCTTTAAGTCAGGCCGCGGACTGGCACGATTGGTTTGCTCTTGCGCCTTTCAGAAGAGCCGAAAGGCTTGCAAATCTTGAAACGTCCATGATATAAGCGGCGATAAGTGGATATACATCAGCTCGGGTGAACGTGGTACAAACCCACCTCGCAGAGCGGGCAGTGAACTCCGTTGCTCGCTGCAACTAGTCGCGGCAGATAGTGTCGACTTCAGGCATTGTCGCTTGGTTCTTAGAGCTGTTTGCGGCGCTGGCAGGTACGAGCACTACGACGCGACGAACAAGGTGCAGAAGTCGGCGGACAAGTGGGCCAAGCTCGCGGACGGGGTGGACCCCGAGCCGGGGCACGCGCACATCTGGCACGAACGGTGGGGGGAGGACTTCGACGGCAGAGGCGGCGCGGTCAAGTGGACCGACAGGTAAGCGCAAGCCTGCCCTCTTCTTTTCCGCTTGCATTTCTCCGTTAAACTGCTCTTGTGCTCTGGCATCAAGCGTTGCTGCGGTTGCCCGAGCTACAAGGTTGCAGGGGGACTATGCGAAACTGTCGGATCGAAACGTGTCAGTCAAGTACAGTTGACGTCCACTGTGCGGATGTAGTTTAGCAAACGTGCAACCCCCTTATCACTGCAAAGTGATGTGTATCTTCATGCAGATCTTGCCGCAAGCAGGTTCACTTGAAGTCGAACGTCTGGCTGATTGGATTGCCCATTATCATCAACAACCGTCTTGTCAACCGGCACGATCTCAGAGTCTAATTGTGCTTTTGGATAGGTAGAAAGCACAGAGCATCTCGTACTGATTCGGACCACATGTACAGGTGGGCGGAGAAGTTCGAGGCCGACGGCAGTACCACCAAGTGGGGGGACAAGTGGGACGAGAAGTTCGACCGCTACGGCAAGGGCCAAAAACTGGGAGAGACTTGGCAGCAGGGTTCTGGTGGAGATTCTTCGAGGACGTGGGGCGAGAACCACTTTGGCAACGGGCAAGTACAGAAGTTTGGGAACAGCACTACAGGCGAGCATTGGGATACGACGGAGTCCATGGACACGTGGTACGAAACGAAGGCGCACTTCGGTTTCCAAGACTGTTTCAACCAAGCATATAAGCTGCGGCAGGTTGGACGCAAAAAGAAGCAACAGCTCTAGGCTGAGGTGCTGTGCAGATAGCGAGGTTGGCTTGTGTGGACACCTTGTACGCCCCACCCTTAGCTGAAGGATCTGAGAAGTGACGTTGCTTTTTGAGGTACACAGGCTGAGAGCAAGCGGCTTAACAGGTGTCGATGTTGAATGTAGATTATGTAAGTGTCTTCTGTCTAAGGGGTTGATCACGATGTTGCTCCTCTTCTTTATGGAAACAATTGTGATGTGATGTGGTCTTCAGGACCTCACACTGATTCCATGCTGCATCCAACAGCCTCGTCACATCACGATGCACACACTCATTCGAGGCATGCCCGACAACGAGAAATGTGGGAAGACAGGGTCGACTCAGGATTTTGCATGCGTGTTTGTAACATATAGGCACATGTGTCCGGACTCGTATTGGTTCGGCGAACTTCGGCTACGACCCGGCTACACTGAAGGGCTGGACCAGGGGCCATGCAAGAAGAGGATGTTTCTCGAGCAACACGTACACGGCTGCTAATGTGCCAGATTGTACTAAACTACTAGCGATGCAATTCTTAAGCTGTCGCTGGGCCGCCCGCGGCGCGGCCGCCCAAGAGGACGGCCGCGTCGCGCAGGGTCAAAAATGACCGTACAATCAGAAGTGCATCTTCAAGACGTGCCGTCCGATGAGCAATCAGCTCCTATCTCTAACCGTCGGATCGGCATGATTCTAGTCGCCTCCTCAGCATACGTCACCTTTGTCAGCCGGGACAAGTGGCAGGATGCTGCCCATCATTAATGCAAGCGGGGCGCTGACGTCAGCCGGCTGTCTCATATGTGGCTTTGCCAATTATGCACCTGCCACTGGTTCTCGGCACTCATCTTGTCTGCGAGGACAGCTGTTTGGTCGCAGTCGAAGGCAGCTGGATGCGACATGGCGCCAGTTTGCGGGTGCAACCGCTGCACAACTTTAAGACTAAAGAGCAAGGGGTGAAGAGAAAAAGACAAGCATGGCATGCAGTGCAGGCTTTGATTTCATTCGCGATCTGGTTTGACTCGATGAAGCCTAGCAACCGCAGGGCCGGATCTAAAATCGCTGGAATGAATCCTCCAATGTTTATGCATTCTTCAAACGACCCGGTGCAGCTCAGGAACGTGTGGGGTGAAAAGGCCTAGGCCTAATGCTTAAAGAGAGCACAAAGATTCTGCTGAGAAGTCAGCAGATCTCTACAGATCTCTACTTGTGGTGAAAAGCAAAGCATGAGCGCGATGCTCAGCGGCCATCAAAGAAGCTATTGTCAGATCTACAGGTTGCTGCACCCTCTGTGTTGAGGTAGGGACGTGGACTGTCGCCCCCCTGCTTTGAGCATCTTCTCAATCCTGCTGTGGTACAGAACTTTGTTCATAGAAGGTGGTGCATTGTAGATCGCAGTTGGAAGACATGTTCTGCCTCCATCAAAAGACTCATCAGGAGAGCAACTCTGCGCAGCTTCGAGCAATAGGCTGGTCTTTCCTGATACCTGCCTATCACATTGACGTGCAGGTCAAAGGGGCACTTCCATTACAGAAGCATGACTAGGCTTGGAGAGCCTCTCCTGGGGGATGGTGGGATGTTTCTTTCAACCAACTATGTTGATGACCTGGCTACCATCCAGGAGCAGCTTGACGGCGCTCACAGCAAAGCAATTCCCAGGGAGGATTCGGAGGCCGATGGTTCGCGAGCCCTGCTGTATTCAGCGCAGGCACTCCTCTTTGATGGACTAGGTGCGTAATGTTGCGTTTTTTGTTGGAGGCCTGTCTGAGCAACCTTGTGGAGTCACATTGGATGTTGATTTGCTAATCAATAGGGCCCTCCCTGAAACCTGCGGTGAGGCCTCATGATTGATTTTGGCTCTGGCCTCGTTGACCTCACTAGAAGGATGGTTGATCATTGAGGTTCATTGGTTTTGGGGCCCTGCCAGAATCAGCGGTACCATTTGCTGCGGATTGTTGGAGCACTCCCTCTCTTAAACCACAGCGCTCCTGGTTTGCCTGGTCTAGAGCCTGGAACACCACCCCAATCATGCTGACTCCTTGTCGCGTTTGCTTGACAGGAGAGGGGAAACTAATGAGGCAGAGCCTGGAGAGTGCCAGGCGAGCAGCTTTGGACGAGCGGCAAAAGCTTGTCTTTGACAGCTGGGCCAAGTTCCAGTCTAATGGCCTCCTTGAAAGCAGCGCGGGCCTTCTTAGGAGGCAGAGCAGGAGCGCTTCAATGAAACTGAGCCCCGATGAGGGAAACGAAGAGGTGGCTGGGGCTGAAGTGTCTGGCGATCGGTGCCGGGTGTGCAATGGCACCAGAAATTCTGTTCCTGGTTCTGCGGGGGCGGAAGGTGGACTGAGGACAGGGGAATCAGAAGAAAGTCGTCAGAGGTGGTGCATACCGGCTGCTGAGGATGTGGTACTGCTCACTGTGGCTGGACAGTTTGTGGCGTGCTCCCGCTCGAGCCTGGCAGAGCTGTCTGCGCCATTCAACGCCATGCTCTTGGGGCAATATCAAGAGAGCCGGAAAACGGCCATACCGTTTGACCTGAACGGACTCAGCCCTGCAGGTAAGGGATTGATATTCGCCTTGAATAATGTTGATGTTGCCTCTACTAGGTGAAAGTGCTTTTAGATCCATACCTATGCTGGCATCCAGAGGAAAGATAAGATGAAGTACCTCAAGGTTTTCTTTGCACATTCAACACCATTTGAGTAAAGCAGTTGCAATCTGGAATCAAGAATTTGTTCGTACCCTCCCTTAAGACACTTGGTGCCCTAGCATAAAGTCTATATTCTACAATTTTGCTAAAGACCACTGAATGCAGCTTCAGGATTGCACTTCCATGTGGCAGTCCCCTCTTCTTCAGTTCAGTGCCAGGTCAGCGAGAAGCTGATATGAAGCAAGATCAGGAGTACATTTGAAGACTTAATCAATCGTCTTGTTTTGCAGGTTTGCAAGCAGTCGAGAGGTTTAGTAGGACGGGCTCCCTAGAGGAGCGTCCTGGTGCCACGTGTGAGCGCTGGCTGTGTGGAGCAGGGAACAGCGCTTGCGCCCTGCGCCAGCCTGCAGTGTCAGAGTCCTCAGGCAGCCATCACATGTCAGACGCAGAGTGGCAACCCTCTGCAGAGTCAAGCGACGAAGAAGAGTCGGATACAGAGGACGAAGAGAAGAGCATCAGTCCCCGAACAGCTAGGAGAGTGCCGGTCTCGAACAGTGAACTCTTTGCAGCGACTACGTGCGAAGAGTGGCCTCAAGAGAGGCCTGTAGCATCAGCGCACGAGCCTCTTTCGGATCCAGGCAGCCAAACGGAGTCAAGCAAAGATGCAACTAGACTGGACTCCACCGAGAGCTCGTCCCTAGGTCGAGGCATGAGGCGCATGGTTCCGAGCAAAGCTTTGAGAAGCGAGTTCAGTGGGGGTTTTGGCAAAGGGATGAAGATCAGGGTAGGGTCGAACGGGGATCTGAAGGCGCTCGATGACGATGCACAGGCGTGTGCGCTCAGCTGCGTGGAAGCAGGGCGAGACCAGGTGTACACGGACTTGGTCGTGGAGGTTCTGCTCTTTGCAAGCCGGTTCTGCTGCGAGGGCCTCAAGGCGCACTGCGATGAGCGTCTTGCCAAGATGGTGAGTTGACAAGTTACCCACGTCTCATAAAAAGTCCCAAGACGTCTCATAAAAAGTCCAAGATCTTTGGTCAGAAGAGCATCGAACCACCTGCCCGATACCTTTCTGAATACCCAGGATCGCACCTTCGGCAGGATACAAAATAACAGGAAACTGCTTAAGACCTCAATATTAGAAGGTCCAACAGAAGCTTGTTGCAGCGAGTACACCAGTCTCAACATCCTTCAGGCTTTCGAGAGTCCATTTGAGGTCAGAGCTGCTCATTCACTTTCGTCTTTTGCCCTCCTCTTATTTTCCTATGCGCCTTAGACGCCCGTTCCTGTACGAAATCTGCGAGCGAAACTTCTGTCCTCGGGCCCTACAAAAGTTCAATTTGTCCGATCTGATATATTGCATTGGACTAACAACATTTGAAACGTAGGCTAGTGTCGTCGACCCTTTGACGAAAATTCCTGCCTGCTTGCAGGTCAACACGAGCGAGGAAGCCGTCTCCAACCTGGCCTTCGCTCTCGAGGAGTCGTGCCCTGTCCTCACCACCCGCTGCCTAAAGCTTCTCCTCGAGAGAATGCCACGTGTCCTGATCACCGATCCGACGGTTGCGGAGCTTCTGCTCAGCAAGGACGGGAGGCGCCAGCTGCAGCAGGCCGGCTTCGCCTCTTTTGCGTTCTACTTCTTCCTGGTAAGTGCCGTTCCCATCTTATAGGTTGGCAGCCTGACACTGTGAGAGGAAAAGTGATTATATCGACCTCTCAATCTGTTTTGCCTCTTGCTGTGCTTTGAGTGGACCTATGTGTTGACTACCCAATCTAGCCAGTTGTGTTCCAACGCACTCGTTTTTTGCAGCTCCATGTGTTGGATGCTTTGGAGTTGCGAATCCTAACTGACGGATTCTCAAACCTTGCCGTGTTAAGGGAATCTCGTTGCGCTTGACTGAGGGTAGACATAGGGCTGACATGGGCAGAGTAGTCTCTACTTGCTCGTTTCCTGATCTAGTCTTTGTACCCTTCCAGGCACACACCCTCTTCGACAGCATTTTCGGCCCCCTCGCCTGCTCCCCGCCGTTCCGCAAGAGCAGAGCCGTCGATCTCGCATCCGCGTGCCTGAGAGCTGCCCTCACATTTCCCAGCCCAGCCATACTCACGGCGTTCGCCCATTATCGCATCGGCTGCCTGGACCTGCTTTCTAAGAATTTGCCCGATGCCAAAGCTGCGTTTGAAGCGGCCGTGATGGCGGGGTATGCACCAGCCAGAGCGGGGCTGGCCCGAATCTTGGCTCTGCAGGGCGACAGGTAAGGCAACTGGTAGCGCGACTAATAGTCCCGATTGTAGGTTGCTCCATAGTCCCAGAATCTTTTTCGTGAGTTGCCTGCCCTAAGGAAGAATTTGGCTCTCACGCTGACGGCTGTACCGTCTGACGCGTTCTTAGCTCAGGGCTGCTGGTCCGGCCGCTTCGTTTTGTCACTTATGTGGTTTAAGCCGCTCTCAACATGCTGATGAGAGGGTGAAACGGAGAGGGTAGTGGCTAAATCTGGAACTTTTTTCTTGCAGGCTCGGAGCACGTCAGGAGGTGTCGAGGCTGCTTTCGAGTGCCGACGTGGCAGCTGGATGGATCTTCCAGGAGCGGGCCATTTGCTCGGACGGAGGCAGAAGACGGGAGGACCTTGAGACTGCTACCATGGTAAGTGACTGCCTCATGTCACAATACTTCGGAGGAGCCTCTGTCCTCTTACTTGTGGGGTGGTGCTTTTCAAACACTCATGCGGACCTGGTCTGGCCAAAGACTGTACTGTATCTCTACGGCGAGGCAAACGGCTGATCATGCGAACGAGCTTCTCGGTTGACAGCTTTGCCTTCACCTGCCGTTCTCCAAGGTACGGCTCACCTCATTAGGGGGCTCTTACAGAGTCTTCAGGACCCATCCCGGCGATCTGATTGGTCGAGTGACGTAAGCTCAACACCGTCACCGTGATTTCAGACTCCGCATGAACATTGCAGCTGGGTTGGTGTTAATAATCAGGACCGAGGCAGACTGTGATGTGGTGTCAAGGCTCCGCGCCGAGCCGCAGTCTGAATTTGTTGGCACTTCCTCCGGGTTTTCGGTAGTGATAACGCTAAACCCTCAGGCAGCACTGTAAGTGGTCCCACCGATTTTATTGTTTGTGTCAATGTTCCTGCATAGCAGCGTGTTATTGAAGAGTGACACTCTGAGCAACGTTCGGTGCACAAATGCAAGCTTGGAGGCCTGTTTGCCGAGCTCGCACCGATATTGCAACTGGTGTCAAGCAGTCAAGTTGAGCGTGCACGTTGAGGTCGTTTGCACCAGGTTCGACAGTTTGGTGACCGATTGGAAGTGTCAGTAGATGCGGGTATGTGCTTCGCTTGCCTCTGTTGACACTACAAAGCATCCGGGGGCCCAAGAGCCCCCGGCACGCCTAGTTCTGTCAACTGTTGAGAGCATCTTTAAGCCCTTGAAACATCAGCTCTTTCTGGTCTTCTCGGCTTTGCGCATTGTAAGCCGCCTCCCTTTTCTGTGATAACCGAAAGCATCCTCCCACACATGTCGGGACTCTTAGCACTCTGCTTTCCTCGTCCCCCTAGCTCTGCCCCACGCTGACGTACCCGTACAAGCACCGCGCGACGCGCCTGCTGAAGGAGGGCAAGCCCGACCTCGCGCGCGCGGAATTGGACCGCGCGCTGCGTTTTATGGTGACGCCCGACCTGCTCGAGTTCCGGGCCTACTGCGCCATCGTGCTCCAGGTGCGAAAAAATTCTTTCGACAAGAACCCCTTCTTCTTTTAGTTCAACTTGTGTCAACTTCCTGATTGCGGGCAGATGCCGAGGTTCAGTTAGACCTTCGGCTCCCTTTAATTCAGATGGATAATAATAGGGTGTAGTAGCGGCCAAAGTGCTGTGCTTCGTCCTCCTTCCGCTCCTAGCGGAATTTACTTCGGCAAACCATCAAGACGTTTCTCCCTTACTGTTGAGATGACATTCCTCTGGTTTGCGAACGCTTCTCGCAACTTCGCTCCCTTTCCCATTGCCAACGGGTCAGCTAAGCCAACAGCTTTGGACGGCCATTGGCGATCAATCCGGGCTCTTAGCTCACACTCAACTTTCTCGGTCCTACGACTGACGTCATCCTTCTATATGCCAGGACTTTGGGCCGTGAGCCGCGACCTGCGCGAACTACTGACGTTCCTTGCCTCGCGACTGACGTCATCTTTGTGTTTGCCAGGACTTCGAGGCCGTGGCCCGCGACCTGCGCGTGCTGCTGACGCTGGAGCCGCAGTACCTGCTGTACGGCGGCCGCGTGTCGGGCGCGCAGTTTCTGAAGCAGCTGGCCAAGAAGGTGGCCCCGCTCTCCAAGGGTGACTGCTGGCTGCGCCTCTACGAGCGCTGGAGCGCCGTCGACGACATCGGCAGCCTCGCGGTCGTGCACAGGGTGCGGAGGATTCTCACTCTCGGCATTTCTGTCTCGTACTTTCAAAGGCATAAGAAACCTGGTGTCTCGGTGCTGGCATGCTTAAGCTTAAAAAGCGCGGAGCACGAGTTCGGGTTTGTGATACCCTGGTTGTTCGTTTCCTCGAAACTTTTCTACCTCTTTGTTTTGAAGGTTTGCTATCCCGAATACGTACGGGAGGGTGCCACTCCTGTGCGCCTCGTGCAGTTTCTCAGGCTTTCAATAAACCATATATATCGATCTTCACCTAAAGCTCACGTGATTTCAACACAGTTGTTCACCCTCAACGATATTTCCCGGAATCCTCAAGCGCCTCAAATCGAACCTCCGTTCGCTTTTCCCTGCAGATGCTCGAGCTGGAGCCGGGCAGCTCGGCCATCCTCTTCCGGCAGTCCCTCCTCTTGCACCGCATCGGCTGCTCCGATGTCACCATGCGGACGCTGCGCGCCGCCCGCGATCACTCACGCTCGGAACACGAGCGGCTCATCTACGAAGGCTGGATCCTTTTCGACACCGGCCGCCGCGCAGAGGCATTTGAAAAGGCGCAGGTGGGTGACGTAGCTCTGGGGGACGTCTGAGTAGTGGTTTTGCCTTTGTGGGCTTACCTTCGTTCTGCAAACGATACCTTACCAAAGAAACGGTTGCTTGTTGCGGGTACTCTCTCGTTGGAGAGCTTTTTCGGCTAAGGAACAGACACTGGCCCCGTCTCGTACTGACCGGTGTCCAATCTCTTCCAATGCAATTCTGGGCCCGCTTAGTAGAGCAGCTTGGAAAGAGACTTATGGATGTGCCTCGCGATGCTTCTATTTTCTTCAGTCAGGTTTCGAGGAAAGAAGCCGCTTTCTCAGTCCTCGATGACACTTCAACCTCAAAGCACAAAGTCCGCCGAGCGCTATTCAGGCCGCCCACGATCCTTCTGACCCCTGACACGTCTTCTCATCTGTTTGCCAGATGTCGGTGTCTCTGGCCCCCTCCTTCGAGGGCTACTTCCTCCAGGCGTACGCTCTCTCCGACTCCTCCCTCACCGACCACAGCCCGGGGTCCGTCATCGAGCTGCTGCACAAAGCGCTCAACTGCCCCAGCGACGGACTGCGCAAGGGCCAGGCGCTCAGCAACCTCGGCAGGTGAGCCCCTCTGCCGCCTACATTTTCGACACTAATCTGTCGTTCACCCGCTGAAAGTGAGGGCTCCTGATCAGATTTGGAAGGAGAAAGACCTTGCTTATGACGTCAATAGATGTCACTGCTCGTTCGATTTGGAAGTCGCCGTTCTGGTCCCTCGATGGGACCGACTCTTCTAAGATCTGCGTTCCTTTGCCTGGCCTTTGCTTGATTCGCTGCGGTCGCTTCTCATTCTGCCTGCTCGCTCTGTGTGTCCGAGCTGACGTCACCTTCCTCCCTGGGTCCTCAGCATGTATGTTGACTGCGGCCGCTACCGCGAAGCGGCGGAGTGCTTCACGAACGCACTGCGCATCCGCCACACGCGCGCACACCAGGGGCTGGCGCGCGTGCATGCCATGCAAGGCAACCGGGAACGGGCATACGAGGTACGGTCCTCTCATCTTGTCGTGTCATTCCGGCAAGAACTGGATATGAAGAGGTCTCAAACAAGCAGTCCGTGACGCGTGCGTTTGTTGGCGGCTGCTCGTCTTGCTTACTTGTAGTCTATCTGCCATACAATCGTTTCTGCGTTCGTCTCTTTTCCTTCCAAAGAAAATACACCCTGTATGGTGCGGCTTTCTTTGGATGTTGCTTTTGTTCTGCAGAGTCACTCTATCAATGCTGTGCACTGAGGTCAAACGCGCATTCAGTCGCTGGTCAACACCCAGTCAATTATCGGGCTCGATTGAGGCTTCGTAAGACAAGCCTTAGCGGTGCTGCTGCCACAATTCCTATGGGTTTACCTCGCAACTTGATCGCATACGAACCCGGACTGCTCGATACCGCTCGATATCAACGCCTTTTCTTCACCGCGCATCATCTCTGTTTCAGGAGATGACCAAGCTGATCAAGAGCGCGCAGAGCAACTCGTGCGCGTTTGAGAAGCGCTCCGAATACGGCGCGGCGGGGCAGGGCCTCGCGGACCTGGACACCGTCACGCGGGTCAACCCGCTGCGCTCGTACCCGTACCGATACCGGGCGGCGGTCATGATGGACACGCTGCGGGAGCGGGAGGCGATCCAGGAGCTGTCGCGGGCCATCGCGTTCAAGGTCAGTTCGCGACTCTGTTTTTCCCACAACAGGCGTAGCACGGGGGAAAGCGTGTCTATCTGAGCCACACGGGGAAACGAGACTCTTCGGATTTCGATGGCGTTACAAAAGCGGAAGGCAACTTCGATGTTTTACAGAAGAAGTTTCTCTTCAAGCAGGGCGGAACAAGCAAAGCCGCAGCTTATTGCCTTCTTTCTTCTGCCGTGCCTTGGACGTACCAGCCTCTGACCAGCAGCCTGTACTTCTTGACGAGGCCGCGTACTATAACTTCTAAGACTTGCCAAGCAAAGCGTCTAAAAGGAGAGATTGGGGAGAGCGTCTGGAAAAGTCTCAGCCATCTTATTGGCAGGCTTCGTATGAGAAGGGCTACAAGAGCGGGTAATTGAGCTGAAGCAACTTCTGGGGTTTGCAGGTGGACGTGAGCCTCCTCCATCTGAGGGCAGAGTTCCACGAGTGTCAAGCAGATTTGGACGCCGCGAGGCGGGACGCCAGGGCGGCGCTCGCCATCGATCCCAACCACGTGGCAACACAGGAGCTATGGAAATCCAAGTTGGATTTGTCGAACGCAAGGAGGCCTGGCTGAGGAGCCTAAGGCGCGCAGGCCATGGGGCAGATACGTATTTTCGACAAGTCCGTATACGGACTATATTTGGCTGAATTTGTTTGTGCAAAAGAGGGTTAGTAGAGTAGCGAGTCTGCTTCGATCAGGATCAATTGTACACTAACCGATTATTTTGTGATTGTCTCAATTCAGTGGACTAGCACTGTAAGATACATGTGGTTAGGTGGGTAGGATGAATTATGGAACAGAATCTTGACCTGGCGTGTAAAAGTAGAGTCTTGCGAGTCCTTGTAGGTATCGGACACATTGCCCGATAGATACCAAAAAGGGACTATTGCAGCCCTATGATTTGACAATACAAACATTGGATTGGAGCATTATAAAGTCGTGGCCCATGACTACTAGTTAGACATATAACCTTTCTCCCCACGCCAGACAGGATGGCCAGCGTGGCTTGTGCATGTGATCGATAGGTCGATTAAGTCATAACCGCAAAATTGACTCCTCACTGAACTATCTTAGTGACGTACAGTAGCTGCATGGGACGACGTATGATTGGAAGGAAACTTGCACTCTAGAACAAGTTGTTGAGTAAAGTATTTAGTATGTGCTAGCTAACATAAGTTAGTCGATCTCATGCACGCACTGAGAGCATGAAGTCTGTACACAAGTTCATGCGGGGCCCAAGCTGATTGCAGCGCATGTTAGCCGGGTATGTTTTCTGAATGAAAGACCATCGAGCCAATCAAAATTAGCGTAGTACGACACGCATGCAAGAATAGGGGTGCATTTGTGGCAACAATTCGTACGGTCTGTGCCGGCGGGTGTCCCTTGTAGTAATTAATTGTACGTAGCTGCGCGGCCGCCCATGCATGCGCTCGATCATGCAAGCTGAAATGGTGATCGATGCTCCAGATGCAGAAGGAAAAGTCATGTGCGGTGCGCTTGTCTCAGTGAACGGGTCATCATGTACGCATGGCACATGTTCAGTCTGGCACTCACACAAACGTATGTCAGAAAAAGGCGGCCAGGATGCAGCAGCAGTCTCTGCATCAAAATCTTTGCATGCTCTGAGCCCGAAGAACAACTAACTGTTTGCATGGTGTTTTACGCTTTCAAAGTCCTCCTCACGATGCAGCTCTCGTACGCAGACGTGCAAGTGCAACACCTATGCGCGCACAGAAGCTTCTACCGTTTGGTCGAATCATTAAAGATAAGTTCACTGAATCGTGAAGGCCGGCACACCCGTTGGTATAATTACACAGGTTAGCCATGTACTACAGACGCTAAGGAGCACACGTGATCTCTAAGGTCGGTCGTTGTATAGATTCCTACATTCGGCATGGTATACCGCTTGACGAGAGCTAGTGCGAGATCGAGATTGACGTTGTGCAGCATTTGGGCCGTCCGATGGGAGCTGAACGTCGATAATCGAAACGCTCAATTCCGTGCGATCTGCAGGCGTCGGTTCGAGGCGGGTTTTGGTCAGGCGGTGAGATCAGCTGCATGAAAGTTGATAGTTTGATGGAAGCGTTCATGTGCGGGGCGCTCTTTGCGTCCTCTTAAGTGAAAACGAGCTCACTACTGTATCAGCTTTGCGACCTCGCTTTGAAAGAATCTGATTCTGCGGTTCAGGAAAAAGTGTCATCGGCCTTCTTCTGTTTTTCACTTTGCTCGGGCGCTGGGAATTATGACCAGCAGCAGCTCAAGAGAGGACCAATCTTTGCTATGATTGAGAGGCGAGCGCCTGATCGCTCTCCTTGCGGTGGTGACTGAGGACCTCCAGCGGATTCAGAGCTCCAAGGTCTTGAAGTAATTTCTCCAGGTAAACCAAGAACAACGTTCCTTGCGAGGAGCTTGGACTCGTGCTCAGAACGCCATGGCTCATTTTGTGCCAGAACAACCTAGGTGTCTGGTGCAGGCTTTGCTTGGCTACTTTTCGTCTTCGTGCATGCCTCTAATCCGGTTGCAGCGAATGGATCAGAATCAGGCAGTAGCTCCTAGAATCTCTTGCTGAAGTTGTACAACTGAAAATCGGGCACAAATTAGGCGCAAGGATATGAATCCCATGCAAAGGGACTGAGAGTCTGATAGATATCACTCAAACACAAAGAGGGAGTCAACTAAAGACGTTGAATATTGCGTTCAGTACTCTGCATAGGTCCCCTTTTTGACCAGATTCGACGTCAAGACAGCAAGAAAAAGTCGCACAGATTCAGATTCAAATCCAGTCCGTGTTCTTCTGCAGCAAGGGCGTTGATATTGTTCTTTCTCAGATGGGACCCAAGAGCAGAATGAAAATACCAGACCTGGAGATCAAGACAGACAAGGAGACATACTTGTCCATTGTGTACAAGGTTGCGCGCAAGCTGCGCTTGAACATCATCCGGAAGCCGGCATCCGTTGAAGAGCTGGACTACATCAGTTTCCTCCCTCCTGGGAAAGGTCTTGGTCAGCTAGAATCTGCAATAGTTTTTAGCCTGCAAAGGGGGTACGAGAAGGCCAAGCACTGTTCTCCGGACGAAGTCTTTAGCCAGACGCAAGGCAGCCTTTCAGGGTTTCAGGTCCAAGACAACATTCATCAAGCAGGCTTTGGGGAGGGATCAGCGTCGCTTGATAACCTGTACCCAACGGTGCAGCCCAAGCGGGTTTTTGACTCGTACATGCTGAGCGGCGGAAGGAAGACGCCAGACCGGGGTGTCTTCTACCGGCCGTGGTCTCCCGAGAGCCCGGACCCCTGGATAGGGCTAGTCTTCGGCTTCGAGACCGCGCCCGGAATATTCCAAGACGCCTGGGTGACCAACCCCTTATGCCTGCAAGCTTTCCAGAGGCCCTTCGACGCCTTCAAGCGGGCCTTGCAGAATCTTAAGCGCAGGACAGAGGGCCAGGTCACAACCTGCATCGAGCCGTCCTTGAAGGCGGTGACGCCACACTGGGGAGAGTACAAGAGAAGCGCCTGTCACGCCGTGCGCTTCGGGCAGCCTCCAAGCGCGGTCTACGTAACGTTCTTTGGAGATCATCGGGACTGCCCTCGATTCCTCCTTCCGATTGTCGTCCAGGGTTTCGCGGACGCGCTGAAGTGCCACCCGGAAAGTGTGGTGAGCTCCTCCAAAGTTTCTCGCAAAGCTTCTCCATATACTCATCTCACAGTATTAATTCGAACTGGCACTTGCGTTGGGTTCGCCTTTAAAAGAACCTTTTTGGTTCAAATCCTGGTAGGTCTGCCATTCCGCTAATCGAGAGCACAAGATTGAAAGCCGTTCAAATTCTGCCCCCGGTTATGTTAACGGTGTAAGAACGGATGCTTTGAGACTCTACGAGGTACGTCGCAACAGCCATCTTGCACAATGTCCGGCGGCGATACCGATCCAATTGAATCTCGAAGGCGACTCCCAAGGAAAAGTGTCCAAATTTAAACATTCAAACCAGTCATACTGCAGATAAAACCCTCGACCACAGTCAAAGCTTGAAGCAGATAATCGTTGTCTTTCCTTGGCACTTCCGTCTCTGGATAGCTCATTTTGTGGTAGGCAGATGTCCGGTCACTTCAGTGATTATCCGCGTCCTTCAAATGTCGCCTTAAAAGCAGGCCCCTCAGTCTCCAACGTACTGCCGTTTGGTGTAGGTTGAAGGCCACCTTTTACCTTTGGCTCTCACAGGTTGTGGTTTTGTGGACGAGCCAGCAGGTCCACGTGGCGTCAGCAGAGGACCAGACGGCAATGTACACTCTGGGACGGATGCAGCATCTGCACAAGTTTCAGATTGACGCCGCGGACTACAAGGAGCGGATCTGTGCCGCGCCTTTCCAGGTGAGCGCTTAAGCTTAAGGTTGCAAACCTGTTTCGTTATTTAGGCGTTTTGTGACAGGAAGGAAGCGGACGACTGGTGCCTTAATGGCAGGAGCACGTCAGAAGGAAAGACAAGAAGGTCAGAAGGGCTTCCGTTCCCGTGCGCTAGTTTCTGAAGGAGATTTACTTGCTGAAAGGCATCTTCGTCTCTGCAATAAGGCGACGGCAGTCCCCGTCGTTTGAAGGTTCAAGCAGACCCTGTGTCAGTAGCACCAATTTCGATGATAGAAGTCGGGAAATGAAACGGAAGGGAGAAAGCGAGCGAAGAGCCGAGCCGAATAAATCCAATCCTACAGACAGGTTTTGTGCGCATTTCGCAGTTCAGTGGGTTGTCCAGCGACGGGTATCTGGTGGAATGGAAGCCCTACCCGCTGTACGGCAAGACGGAAGCTCTAAGGGTCCCACGTGGCACGAGCTCAGAGTCGATGCGTGTCCTGTACCCTGTCCCAAGAAGCGAGGCCGTGGCGCGGAAGCTGGAGCGACTGGGGGATAAAATCCCCATCGTGACAGAGCTCTCGTTACCCCAATGTGCAAAGGTGATTGTACATGGGGCATCAAGTTTTCACAATCTCAAAGTGGTTGTCTTGCAAGATTGTGACGATTGAAAGGGGCCGCCGGCCTGATGTCTCTTTATTCTGGTCCTTGAGATTCCGGTTTGGTCCGGGAATTTGGCGCATGCTCGCTCTCAAAGTGTCTGACGTTGGTTCATCGCTAAGAACAGGACCGCTGGATCTTTCAAACCCCTCTCTGTTTTCTTTCACAGCGTGTGCTGATCCGAAGAACTTGTCACAAAGAGATCTTTTCTGTGTGGAAGCTGGAGCCTCACAACACACTTAGTTTTAAAAACACTGATGATCCACGAGATAATATAATGGATAGGAGACTCTTGCGAATCTTGAGAGCGCTCTCTCGTCTAAGAGCAACTCCGTCCACCCCAAGTTCTAAGTCACTCCGTAACTTTTGTGCAGTGTGGAAAGAAGGGTGAGGACCTTCTCCGATGTGCGAGGTGCCGAAAGGAACGGTACTGCTCTCGGGGCTGTCAGATCAAGCACTGGGCGGCTGGACACAAGAAAGTATGCACACCGTGACGACGACCCGTGATTTAAGTGCCTTGCCGATACAGTAGCGATGCTTCTAACTTTCGAGGCGCAGATAAGTCTGATCTGAGAAGGAATCCGACAATTTCTTCCACGGGTGTTTAGTCGGCTTTGCTTTTGCATGCAGGAAGATGGAGAATGGCAATCCATCAATCTTCTCGGTTATTTGGAGTTGCGCCGGAACTTGAATTCAGGCAGCAAAAACAATTCCGATGCCTATCTTCGCGTTGGATGAATACAATTGTTTGATCATCGGCCAACCAAATTAATGCTGCATTGCAAGTACTGGACCGATGTATGACCTCCATTGAGGTTGCAGCATGGTCGCACAGGTTTCTTACTCACTCTTGGCTCCCTTCCCAATTCAATTGTTTGCTCAATGTGTATCGATCGTTCAACTCTAAGCCATGAAGAGCATATGCAGATCCAGAACAATGAATTGGATACAAATGATGGATGTATCGTTTGTCAGATGGTATGCGGATGCTGATTACGATTTACAAGTTCAACGGTACTCTGATGCATCAATGTTGGTTTCTAGTGTATCGACACAGCAGCAGGGTGCCATCGATCAAACGTCGGTCCACGCACGCCGACGCACGGAGGCAGATGCAGCGGCGTCGTCTTCACATCTTCAATGACGCTCGTTGAAGGCCGGATAAGTGTATCTCCATCCTTCATGGCACCATGTGGCTTTTGTAAGCATACGTCCTGTACAACAATCATTCACAGAAGCGTGCACCGTCTGGATTACTATATTTGGTTGCTGATCAGAGTTGCAAAGTAGGCCGGCAACCTGGAGAAAGTGCGCAGTCCTCCAGGCATGACGCCAGTTTCACCGTTTTGCTTGAAACTTCGCGCAAGGCCGCATGCAGTCGCATGTACTCGACCAGTTGCAAGCATTTGATTTTGTGCAGATAGCAGCAACTGGGCATTCGATAGCCGAACTTGGCCGAACTCGGTGATCGAAGGGCTCAGTGACCGTCTGATCTCTGGGGTTCGATTCAGGTCCGGCGCTCACACCAGCTTTGAATCGCGGTTTGCAGATCGTTTTGATCTTGATGGAAGGGTCGCGGCGCCGCGCTCTTTGAGTTGGCAGCTTTGGTGGTGAGATCACTTGATCAGCTCTTTGCCTTCGCTTTGACGGATCCTCAGCTCTTCAACGCAGGGACTTTTACCAAAGCGGCCTTTTATCTTGTACCGCTTAGTCGCTGGTACTTCAAGCTAGCAACAGGTCAAGGGAGAAATCCATCTTTGCTGGCAGTCCAGGAGCGAGCTGAACCAATCTGGTGGTCATGCGTGACACAGACCCTCTAGCAAAGTACAACTCCAAGGTTTTCAAGCAATCTGATTTCCAAACGAAGCAATGCTCAGGAACTCATTGAACTCGTGCTGAACGCCTTCGCAAGGCTTTCCACTAGGTATCATTGTGGTCCACGCTCTTGCTGGCCTTCGTGCATGCATCTAGCTGGTTCATAGGTAGCAGATGATTCGAGGATAGGGAGTAACTCTAAAGATGTTCTCAGGATTACTCGCAAAAAATTGGGAAAACTTTGGACGACAGAAGTTGCTGTTATCTTCTTCATGCAAACCTGACATTCAATCTAGAATAGAAGGTCAGGAATCAGCTGAAATCAGTGATCACAAAAATTTGGGGGGAGATAGCAGAAGAGTTGGAGAAACAGCTAAAAAGGAGAATACTTCAAATTTTCATTGTGCCTAAAACTTTGGTCTAACTAGATATGCTTGAAAAAGACAGCGCGAAGTTAAGGGTAGGAAGAGTCCGCAGAGAGACAGATTCAGAACATACTCTTTTTCTGCAGAAAGTGTTTTGATAGTTCTTCTCAAGATGGGGCCCAAGAGCAAGACGAAGATACCAGAAGTGGAGATTAAGATCGACAAGGAGACGTACTTATCCATTGTGTACGAGGCTGCACGCAAGCTGCGCTTGAACATCATCCGGAAGCCTATATCTGCTGAAGAGATGGACTACATTGATTACCTCCCTCCCGGGGCAGATTCTAGCATAAAAGAAGCTGCAATAATGTTCAACCTGGAAAGTGCGTACGAAAAAGACAAGCACTTCTCTCCAGACATAGTTCGACGCCACACCCTCGGCGCACTTTCGGTATATCAGATCCAAGCTCAATTTCAGGCAGTCATTGATGGAGACCTGACGTCGCTTGATAACCTGTACCCGACAGTGAAGCCCAAGCGGGTATGTGACAATTACTTGCTGACAGACAAAAGGAAGACGCCAGACCCGGGTGTCATCTACCGGCCGTGGTCCAGTGAGAGCCCCGACCCCTATATAGCCCTAGTATACGGATACGAAACCGGGCCCGGGGTGTTCAAAGACGCCTGGGTTTACGATCCCTGTTTCCTGCAAGCTTTCCAGAGCCCCGCAGATGCCTTTGAGCGGGCCATTCAGAATCTCGGGCGCATAACCGTGGGCCAATTCAAGATCTGCGTCGAGCCGTCCTTGAAGGCGGTGACGTCACACTGGGGGGAGTACAAGGGGACGAACTGCCGGGCTGTGCGCTTCGGGCAACCTCCAAGTGCGGTCTTCGTCACTTTCTTCGGAGACCACCGAGACTGCCCTCGGTTCCTCATCCCAGAAGTCGTCAAGTTGTTCGCGGAGGGGCTGAACTGTGACTTAGAAAGTGTGGTGAGCTTCTTCGCTAATATCTGGATCTTGGTTGGAAGTTTACGAACGGATTGAATCAGCAATAAAGTTTCACTCCTTTTGTTCAAAAGCTTCTCTTTGCTGAGATTATCAGTTCGGTCCTTTTGATGGAGGACCGACCTTATCTGACGATAAGCTTGCGTCATCAGCCAGAGCAGCCATCGTGTTATATCCGATGGCGTTGCCTCTCGTCCACACTTTGACTGCCAAGGGGGCCATTATTTACCAGTCAACTTTTCAGATGCTCGTACTGTAGAATGAATCTAAGTTGCATCCGATCTTCGATCTACCAAAAATATTTCCTCTTCTTTTGCATGTCTTTCTAACTGGAAGCTCAGATTGGGGAAGATCTGGACTTCCAATTCCGGTGACATCAGGCGTCTTCCAAATCGGGCTTGAAGAAGGCCTCTTCGTTTTTGATTCTAGGGTCAAAGGATTTACCGTTATAATAAGATTATTTACCTGTTGATCGCGCAGGTTGTGGTTCTGTGGTCTGGTCAGCAGGTCCACGTGGCGTCAGCGAGGGACCAGAAGGCAATGTACACTCCTGGACGGATGCAGCACCTGATGAAGTTTCAGACGGAGGCTGCTGCCTACAACGACCGGATCTGCGCCACGCCTTTCCAGGTGAGGAGCGATGAGCTGCTAATGTCGGCACTGGACTGAAACAAGAAAGGAGCGCAAGTTTCATGCCTCAAATGTCAGGAGGCAGCCAGACAAGGAAACAAGAAAAGTCGGAGCGGTTCCGTTTTTCAGTGTGCTATCTACTCGGCATAACTTCATAAGTAGACACTTTCAAGCGGTCCTCTTTGTTGCCACAACTTGAATAAATCTTGAAGCGTAAGGCTCACGCAGATCTCGTAACAGAAGCATCTTTTCCGATGAAAAGCAACGGGCAAGAAATTTTGGAGGCTAATAGAGCCATTCAGATCCTATTAGGAATAGTGTTCTGAGCGTAACAATGACCCTAAAGACGGCTCTTGCCGTACTTACGCAGGTCAAGGGACTGTCCAGCGATGAGTCCCTGGTGGAGTGGAAGCCCTACCCGCTGTATGGCAAGATGGAGGCTCTCAGGGTGCCACGTGGCGGCGAGCCAGGGTCGACGCGTGTCCTATATCCTGTCCCGAGGACCGAGGCCGAGGCGCGGAAGCTGGAGCGACTTGGAGACAAGATCCCCGTTGTTACAGAACTCTCGTTACCTCAGTGCGCCAAGGTGAAAGATCTTAACATACATGGTCTATCTTGAATGCATCTTGAGTGCTTCCATTTTTTAATATTTTCTAGCAAGCTCGTATTGTTGAAAGGCGGCTGTCCGCTTGATGCCTCTGTGTCTCAAGATTTTGAATCATTCATTTGCATCGGAAGCGAGGCGCATGCTTGCTTTTGAAGTAATAGTCATCAGATAATCGAGGTGAAACTCCCTCATTTGTCTTAGAATCAGGCCTGATCGCTCAGTCTTTTCCCCGAGCCTTTTGTATGTTTTGACAGATGTTTTTACCAAGCATTACAAATCAGTAGCCTAGCTTTCTACATGGAAGCTAGGTTCTCACAAACGAGTGTTCGTCCTTTTGGAACACTATGAGATTAAAAACCCAGTGAGAGCTTGAGTGATCTCGTGAACCTAACGTGCTTGCTTGATTAAGGTCGTTAATCAGTTCCTCCTCCTGATCTCGATCGTTGAATGATTGTGTTACGAATGTGCAGTGTGGGAAGAAGGACGAAGATCTTCTCCGATGTGCGAAGTGCAAAAAGGAACGGTACTGCTCCCGGGACTGTCAGATCAAGCATTGGGCGGCTGGACACAAGAAAGTCTGTGCACCGTGACGGCGATGCGTGACACAAAGTGCGCTGCTATAACGATAGTTCGACTTTTGAGGCTGACAACTGAACGCTATGTCAATCTAATCAGGACTCCCAACAGATTGTTAACGCCTGCCGTTTTCTTCAACTGTTCCTTTCGGCACACGGGGACTGGACGTCATTGACGGGTCCATCTTCCTACCTCTTTCCTGAATGGCAATCTCCACGGACAATTTCTATCACGTATAGGTTTTAAAGCGAAAACGCATTTTCAAAAACTCGCTTGTCTCAAACCGATAGATGCATTCAACGTGATTCAGTTCGCGGATTTGTGATGATGTCACGGTGGAAGACTGGAAGCGCTAGCATGGATTGTTCTCGGTTCCTGGGGCAGTCAACACCCCAGCACACTGGGATTAGGTAAAAGTCGGTCGCAGTGCTATCTCGAAACCCCGGAGGCACGATTGCTTATGACAGGGTTAATTCAAAGCAAATCATGTTGTGTCAGGAGTGCCAGACAACAAGAGGCTAGAAAAGCTGGTTTGCAGGAGTATCGTAGTGTAGCTTGTTCGAACTCGTTAGAATCCTGTATTGACACCCTTCGGGCCCATGGCTTCGGCTACAGTCCTTATAATAGAAGCATGAACGAATGTCGTTAGAGCTCCACTTAGTCTAGTATGACCATTTTGTGTCCCAAACGAATAAGTATCATTTTGGATGTTGAGATCCTTGGCGGAATACAAGGGCTTGCATGAAAGGAGCACATATCGTGGAATTTCATGAGCTTGCAGATCAACGTTAAAATTCGGCAAGTACTATCCACGATAATCTGTTTGTTTTGCGCATATCTCTGCCGGAAGCGTTCTGATTTTGGTTTGTTTTCGCCGAAAGGTGTGAAAGCTCCTCTGAGGTCCGCTAAAGCATTGAGGGGCGCACTCAACTACAGTACATGATCTATACGTACATACTTGGTACATGTTTCATGCTTGAAATCAAAATTACATGCGTGTACAGCAAATGACAAGCTGGAGATCTCGGTCCTGGCCTTGATCTATCCGATCAATTTGCAAGGTCAATTCTGCGCCAGCATATCGTGACATGTGGCTCCCCTGTTCATCTCTCGACATCACTTTATGCTTTCCGATGCCGCGGTTTTGTGACGCGCCAAATTCCAACAACTGACAAAGCGCTCGATATAGAGCTTGATTGCAGATGCTGACAATATCTACGATACAATAAAAGCTGTTTGTAAAACCAACGCAACCACAATTCTAATCAAACGCATTTCACCTTCCCTTCAGAGTCTGCATCACTTCTTGCAAGGGATCATCTTTCCCTTTGAAACGCATTAAATGTCAGCGCATTGGATGCATCGCATAAATCATTTGTATCTTCAATATGTAAATGGGGACACTCGTTCACGAGCAGGTAAACAGAGAGATCTTCGGTCAAAATCGGGCTTCTCATTTATCATCTGGATTGCTTTCATACAAGAACTCAATAGTTGGTAGGGCTACTACTGTAAACCTCAAAACCTATTCACGTGCACTTTCTCGTCTACAGAACACCAAATTCAGCACTCTAGTACTGAACTGAGCCAACAAGCTACAATTTGCCTACCAGCCAGCCAACGCTTTGATTCCTTCCACTTTGAAATGCAGACCGTCTGATCTGCTTTCTTTTCTGCCTGGCCGGGGTTCACTGACTTGACACAAAATCTGGCACAGCCACCAGATCGTACTCTTGCCCCCTTCTAGGATATATGTTCCTTCCCTTCCGGCTAAGGGCCACTGTCCCAGCTACCTTGACGGCTAGAGTCCCTTCCTGAAGCATGCAACTGGAGGAGGTCTTGTGCAACTCTGTCCCTGAATTGCTTGAATGCAACTCCTTCCTAATGCAACGCTTACATCTGATGCAGAATGCAACCCCATCGTCTGATCGACCTCCCGGATCGCAAACTCCAGAGGGAATTCTTTCCGTCTCTTTCCGTCCACCACCTCCGAGAACCGCGATGGCCATCTCAAAGTTTGACGATGACGCCCCCTATCCGTATAAGGCCCAAGTTTCATCTTCAGGATGACCGATGACCCAGCATCTATCCATGGCTTGCTTGCCGAAATTCTCGACCAACTTTGACCGGAGTTCACCCTATACCTGAACCGCTACCGGAAGCCACAGGATGCCGATACGCCGACTCATCCGTTTACCTTTTTCAAGCTCGATCACTAGGTTCTCACCGGTCTACCAGACACCTTCTATCAGTTTACCTCCCTCTCAGCTTAAGTACCCGGGTATGATTGCAATTTGACGACTAGCCCATGTGTTTCCACCCCTAGCAGCCAGACCTCTAAAAGCCGTCCTCAAAGAGCGGAACCCAGCGATAGACCACCGAGCGGCAGACGTTACATTCGACGAAGGATGGATTGCCGACCGCCTCCTCCTTGCACGCGGTGCAGAGGCAGCGGTGGCCGCACGGTAACGCCGCCCACGTCACGCGCCGTTCCCAGCACCTGCGGCAGGCGTTCTCCGGCGGGACACGTGGCGCGCGCGACGGCGGGGGTGCAGGGGCCGCGGCTGGGGGAGGCTGCAAGAAGGTTGGATTCGAGCGACGTAAGTGGAGGGAGAGAGCTTAGGCCTAAAGATCGGTTGAAGAGGTAGCGAATTCTGTTTCGAACGTGAACAAAAAGACGGCAGGGCCACTTTACTCATCTTAACAGACTGACACATCGTGGGAAAACTTTCACGGATGGCGCTCTCTCCCTACGGCAATGACACACGAAGGATACGCAAAGGCCTATGATATAATGTCGCCAAGCCCGACTATCTTTCATTCAGATCCTTCAGACTACCTCACATGCAAGTCAAAGAGCCCTGGCCAAACCCCCACGCCTCAATGAAGCTCTGTTTTGTCAACATCTGGAACACTCATCAATTGTTATAGCCCTTCTGTAATCTTACCTTCCAGTCCATGAAAGAGAGGAAAGAGCGCCCGGTGGGCGCCTCCCGAGCACCAAACGGGGTCCACTCTCGCTCCTGCTCCGGCTGGAAACTCGCCCCGAGGTGCATCCCCGCCTCGCCGTACCGGGAGCCCTCCACGAGTGCTCGGCCCGGCGAGATCCCCCCTCCAATTGCCCCCAGACGGCTCTGCAGAACTCCCCCCATGTCCGGAACCGGGCTCTCGGTGAAAGTCCGTGTGCGCCCATCGGGGGTCAGCGACCGGAAGTCGAACGCGTTCTGCGGGCGGTTGAACTCGCCGCGCCGGTAACGGTCGCCGGGGGGTGCTCCCGGGGCGTTGGGCTGGCGGAGCAGGTGGTCGAAGTTCTGGGGGCGCAGCGGGCTCGGGGAACCGGTGTACGGCGACGGGCCCCGCGAGGGGGGGTGCGGGGCCGGGCTACGGCGCCCGGGGATAAGGCCCGGGTGCTGGGCCATCCGCTGGAGCATCATCTTGTGCTCGAACATCTCCCGGTCGATCTCGTGCGGCGACCGGGGGCTGTTGAAGAGCTGCCGGGCGGCCGCCCCAAGCGAAAGCTCCCGGTGGATATCGTCGGGGGGGAACGCATCGGGCGTCGGGCTGCCCAGGTAGAACTCGCGGTCCTCCTTCCGGAAACCAAACCCGGGCGGAACCTGGAGCGCTTCCGGGGCGGAACGCCGACCCGGGAAACCAAAGGGATCCCCCGACGTGGGCTCCGTTGAGTTGCCCCGGGCGGTCGAGTTGGGTGTCGGGGTAGGGGGAAGCGGGGTGAAGGCTGTCAGAAGGCTGCTCGGGGGCCCCTCCGACAGGTCCGGCGTGCTCGGGAAGGGTTTGGTTGCGGGGCTGGCGGAAGGGGGGGTCATTTCGCCTGCCTTGAGATCCCCCCCGGTGGATTCCGCAGCCTGTTCCTCTGTGGGCTGCTCCGCTGGAAGTTCCGGCGAGTCCGCTTCCGTTTCGCCCAGCTCCTCTGTTCCGTTCGGCTCCTCCACGTTTTCGTCCGCGTCTCCCTTTTCCTCAGGGACGGCTTCCGGCTCGGGAGCTTCCGTTCGCTTCTCGGAAACTGGTTCCGACTCCTCCCCTTCCTTGCTTGGCCCCTTGTCCCCCTGCGCGGCCGACGCGTACGACCGCCCGGAGGAGACGAACTTGGTCGGGGGTTTGGGCGGCGGCGGCGGCGCGGCCGCGCGCGGCGAGCGCGGCATGAGGACCACGTGGGTGGAGGCGCCCGTCCCGGTGGGCACGATCTTCATCTTGACGACGTCGGGCATGGAGCGCAGGAAGTCGCTCAGCTTCACGAAGCCCAGCTCGTGGTGCGGGATCTCTAGCCCGAAGCACGCGCGGAAGTCGCCCTTGAGCGACGACATAGCGTATTGGACGCCGCGCTTGGTGGAGAGGTAACCGGGCAGCCACTGGCGCAGCTTCACCAGCCAGGGCGGGCACTTGACGCTCCCGGGGATCGCGACCGGAGGCGGGGGCGACGCTTCGAGCGCCGGTGGAGTTTGCTCGGGGGACGTCACGCGACCGTTGGGTTCGTCACTCGTTTCCGTCGGGTGGGTTTCCGTTCCGGTCGCGGACAGGGGCGGGGCGTCGAGGGGTTTGGCGAGGGCCGGTGGTTTCTGCCACGGCGACTGGAGGCGCTTCTCCTCCCAGCTGTTGACTTCCCAGGGCACCGGCTCTGGCGAAGGCGCGGCCGCGGCCGCGGCCGCGCGGGCGAGGCTGACGGGGTTTGGGACGTGCCGGGAGGTCAGTCGTTCCGACTCCGGCGAGCTCATTCCGTCTGCGGGGCTTTCCGGAATGCGAACGAGGACGGAAGCGGGGGTGTCTGGGGTTTTGCATTCGGGGGGTTCCTCCCAGACGAGGGAGTCGGGTCGTGGAACGGCCGCCTTCACTTCCACCTGGAGACAAGGAAACGGAGGAGAGGAAGTGTTGGCAGCTGTACTTTGGTAGAAGCAGATATTCGAGCAGCTGCTGAGCCGGATTATGGAGCTGGAAACGGCCTTTCTGCAGAAGCCTTTAAGAGATTGCGAACTTTTCCAGCGTCAATGGATAAAATTTTGGTTTGTGTGCCGAAATTTGAGGAAAATTCAACAGTTGGACATACCAATCTTCTTCACATATCCACACAGTCTCCTCATTTCGTGACTTCAGGGTAGACAGGCTCGTCCTGATCCTAGCTCCAGCTATCAGCGTGATGCTATTGGACCATAGTGCAGATCTCCGTATCAGGCCTCACCTTTTTGCCGAATATGACCACGTAGTGTTGCCTGCAGGCCTTCTGCGCTGTGACCTCGCTCTTGAAGGCGACGAAGCCAAAGCCGCGGGAGTGCATCCCGGTCGCCGTCTGAGACCCGATCACGATCGCGTCGTCAACGGGGCCGAAGTTGGATTCGAAGTACTCCTTCAGGTCATCTGCAGGGTTCGAGAAAAAGATAATTTGAATCGACGAGGAGATTCTTGGCATAAATGTAGCGTTCAGAAGCGCTTCAAAGCTGTAGTCGGTCAAACAGGAAATAAGGGACACGAGAAGCAGCGCTCTGTGACACCCAAAGAAAGTCGGGTTTACCAACGACTCAGGATAGAGACCCTTTTGACCGAAAAGGATAGTGGTTCGTTGGAAAAAGAGGCAAAAGTGAAACTCTATAACGATAGAAAGTTTCCTTCCCTCAAAGCTCTGACTTACCAGCGTCAGCAGATTCGGGCAGGCCACCGACGAAAATCTTGCGGTTGAAGTCCTCGGTCTTCCACTGCTGCAAAAAGAGACAGTAAGCTGTGCGTTCAGAGTGGTTAACCGGGCCAAAAATAAAGCAAGCTTAGAGACTCGATAGTGTAACGGATTGGCAGAAGAAAATATGAAGGTTCTCGGTCACCAACCACACTAGAACTTCAGAGTTTCGAATGCAAGAGAATCTCTTCTGGAGTCACGCACGGCACAGAAATGTGGAACGCCCCTTTCAGCGGTAATGAACCATTATTGCTCTCAATACCAATCCCAAAAGTGACATCGCTATGGACAGGTCCAACGCGCTCAAACGTCAACAGAACGCGCCAGGATGATTATGCACGAACGGCTCAGAAGGCTCATGCAAGGTCGCAGCAGCAAATGCACTTTCACGACTTGCCTTGAGCTTCTGCCGGGAGAGGCTGCCCGGCTCCGCCGCATCGCCCAGCATGCCCTTTGGCGGCGCCAGGGGGACCAGCTCGTGTTCCCCGTGCGCGAAGAAGCACTTTTCGCCGCGCGCGCACCCGTGCGCGGTCCCAAAGTAGCGGCAGAGCTCGGTCTTCGCGTTGGAGGGCATCATGACCGTCTTGGCGGAAGAGGGCCTCCTGGCAAGAACGAAAAAGTGGGCGAGGAAATTGCTTGGATCATTACTGAAGTCGGTGAGGACCTGTAAGGCTGGATGTTCCAGTTCGATTACGGTTCCATCCCAGAATGTCCGCGAAACGAATTCTGTGGTAGAAGGGACCCTCAAGATTGTCGAAGCTTTTTAAGGGACTTCGAAGCACTTGAAACAAGGTTCACAAGGCCAGTCTTGAGAAATCTTAACGGCATGTATGAACAGTGCTCGCGAGGTCTTCTGCAACATTTTCTCAAATCCAGATCAATGTTTCTGCTCCGTAGGAGTTCTACTTTGCACACGACGTCTAGAGGCTGAAACCGCCCAAAAAACACACTTTGACATATCTGATGTACACTTACGTCTGGTCGCCCTCCTTGGTGCCTTTCTTGGCCGCCTCGACGGCTTCAGCGAGCACGTTGTCTTTTCCTGCGCACATGAGAAGCGGCGTTACAATTCACCCCTGTTTTCCTAAAATTGTGTGGAAGATCAAAAACTTCTTCGAGAAGCACACCAAGCCTCATCAGATGGTACAGGAGTTCCGCAGACGCGGTAGGCAGCAAATAGAGATTACGAACGTCGTCAGCTACAGCTTCGTGACATCCCTCACGTAAAACTGCGGTGCCGGACACAGTGCAGCCGTTTCCAAGCCCAGATCAACGCTTCTTTTGTTTGATATCTAGCTCAAACCAACTTACTAAAGAGTGAATCAAATACTCGGTGTGGGCCTTTTGAAGATCAAGTGTTACCTGTGAAGGCCTCGTCCGGTTGGCGCAGCATCTCGCGCATGGGAGGCGATGTGGCCACGTCAATGGGTCTCTGCTTTCTGCAGTTGTAGAAAAAAGCAGGATTGAGCTCAACTTGAAGGACAGACACATCAACTGGGAGCACTTTAGAAATCTGCTTCTTCGTCAGCACGAATGACCGGAAACTCGCCACTCGGATCGAACAAATTACAGCTCCCCCGTCATAAATAGGACAGGCGAACCTTATACTTGCCATCAGGAAACTGAGTGAAGTGCGTTCGGGAAGTCCACTTGGTTTTTGAATTGAAAAGGGCGCACGGAAAAATGGAAAATTGCCCGGAGCGTACCTGAGGTTGACCAGCAGTCTGTTCGCGCCAGCCTGCAGCAGCAGCCTGGCGCACTCCACGTGGTCATTCTTGACGGCCCAGAAAATGGCGGTCTCCTTGGTTGCGGCCACAATGTTCACGGCCGCAGGCTCCTTGGTCAGCAGGATCTGAAGATGAAGCAGGCCCACGTGTCAGCAAAAGGCAGTGCTTTAGGCAAAGGCGAAACCCACAAAGCGAGAGAAGTTACATGGTGACAAGAAGCAGCCGCATCCTAAACTAGGGCACTAAGATGCTCCAAATCTGGATGCCCTGGAAGATTGGTCGCTTTGAACAAATTGCCTCTACGATCAGCGAGAATTTTCTAGCAAGAGCGGGTCAAATCTCACTTAAAGATAGGCTTGACCTAGAGTCTCCGTCTAAAAAAGTGCTCGTCCAAAGAAGTTTCAGTGCAAGAAAAGGTAAGGAAGCCAACCTTGAGAGCCTCGTAGTGCCCATGAGCGGCCGCCACGTGAATTGCTGTGGCGCCGATCTTATTTCCGATGGATCCGCGCGCACCGCCGTCGCTCAGCTGCTGGATGATGCTGCAAGGGTGAGTTGAAATAGCTCAAGCATCTGTCAGATCAAAGACAGAGAGACGGAGGCAGAGGAATGCAGGATGCCCGACAAAGGCACAGGAAATATTATGCATACTTCAGCAGAAGAAAACCAACGGTCAGCTGGTAAGAGGTCTCCTTTTTGAACAAATACAAGTAAGTGGCGCAGCAGTTTCAGCAAGTATTAGGAGGCGTGGACCCTGGGACCGGTTCTCGGAGCGTATGATCGGCGCACCTGACGTTCAGAAGGTTCTTCCCAAGTCGCAGGCACCAGTGAAGAGCAGTGTTGCCGTCTGGATCAGCCTCGTTGGGATCGGACCCGAAGCGCAGCAGCAGGGCTACAAGAGCCTCGTCGTTAGCCTGCACAATTGCAGTGCCTGCTGCGTCAGCCCAGCTTTTTGCTGGAAGATATCTCGCACTGAAGCTTGTTCAACTCAATCTGGAATTCGAGAGAGATCCATCTCTGCTACAAAACCGTCTGCTGTGATCAAAACCTTCGCTGATGTGCGGCTCAAAGACAGTCCGAGAAGTATCACTTTCTGACTATATTGACAAACAAGTGCTCTGATCAAACATGAACACGTGGCGTCAAGCGAACAAATTTCTGAAGGACACAAAAAGGATATTGATTCTTGAAGGGGCATCCACCTGTGCGGCCTTGATCAGCGGCGCTGTGGGCCCCTTGGAGAGCGGCCCAAACCCCTTCGGCCGGTCGTTCTTCCGCCGGCTCAGGTGCGGCTTCCACCTCAGCACGGCCTCCAGCACCCGGAGCACGGGCGCGCGCGCGCGCGGCCCGCCCTCCGGGTTTTCGCGTGCCTGCGCGAGCGCCTTTTGCACCAGGAAGTCGACGACGGTGCCCTCGCCGAAGTCTGGGTGTTGCAGGACGGTGTTCATGATGGCCTTGCCGAAGTGGATGTAGAGCGAGATGAGGGGGACGAGCTTGCACGCGAGCGCCAGCTCGCAGCCGAAGCGCGCGAGGTCCTTCATCTGGTTGCCGAGCAGCTTGATGGCTGTCAGGTCCTGCGGAGGGACCAACGCATACAGGTGGGTTTAGAAGTGAGCTGGTGGCCAATCTGGGGCTGCCATAGATTGTGACACCAGCAGAATGCAGCACAACCGACTGGCAATCCTTAATTGGCAATCCTTAAGGGCTGCAAGGCCTGGGGTCTAACGCCTGTCTGAGAACAGAACAGGCTGGTCTCTAAAATGGAGCTTGCACAGTACTTCTGAAACCCATTAAATGCAGGATCATGAGGTGTTTTTGCAATCAGCTACGAAGGATTGTCAACGTGTCTTGGGGGACGAATTTGTCAAAATTGAAAGAAAACTTCACTTTTTTCTGAAGAAATAACTTGAGAACTCCTTACCATCTCCTGTAGCTTGATAACAACGTCTCTAGGAGGTGCATGATCTACGTCCAGGGGAGGCCTGCACAGGTGAAATATGATTCAATGCATCAATCTACACATGAAACTGGTGGAGTATGCTTCTCGCGGACATTGCAGGCCATAAATGGAACAAGCAAGTGACGCTTCAAAAACGTATGCTGTGAAGGTGTTTTAGAAAAAGGCTAAAAGAGGGCTCAGATGATCGATCCAATCCGAATTATCAAACTGTCAAAGGACTTCATCTGAATTTCAGGCAGAATCTCTCAAGATCCACCTATTTCTTCTACATGATCTGGATCTTTTAAGATGTGTATTAACGAAGAGAATTGTCTCTCAAATTACCATCTCTCTCCAGCACAAAGAAAACCTCGTTCCTAATCCCTTCTACAAATGGCTACCACCCATCAAGATAGACACTTGCCCTCACAGCACCTTCATAAACTGGATCTCTTTATCTCTACTCTAATTCAAAGGCATGAAACCCAGCCAGAGCATCCAATGCACAATCCCATCTTTGCACAGAAACCTCACCTAAGGCTCTGCATGGCAGATTCCAGAGGAGTACACCCTCTGTCGTCTTCGAGATCAACCTTGGCCCTCCTCTTTATGAGAAGCTCGATGCACTCCAGGCTGTGGCACTCAGCAGCATGGCGGAGAGCTGTCCTCCCCCTCTCATCACAGTCGTCAATGGGAATCGCTGGAAGACTTGAGCAGTCGAGAAGCATCTCAGCCACATGCACGGCATCGCATCTGCACGCTTCGTGCAGGAGCTGCCTCAGCAAGGCCTCGTTAGACCTCCGGTCTTCTGTCCTGTCAGAGCTGATGAGATCGAGCAGCGCCGCAGAGAGAGCTTTTGGCTGGTCCTTTTGGACCAGCTTGGAGAGTTTATCCATCAGGCCTGCGGAAAGGACCTTCTTTCCGCTCGGATGCAGGATCACTCTGGACTTCTCAAGCACCATTTCTTCGTCTTCCTTGGCTTCCGACATTTCTGAAGCACCAGCTGAGTCGACGCTGGTACCAATCTTCGCCTTCAAGATAGCAACAAGCTGAGCACGATCCAGAGACTGGTTCTTGAGAAGCTCGAGGGTGTTCTTCTGGAGAAGCGATCCAACCATAGATGAGGTCACTGCTGGATCATTTGCAGATTGGATCCCAGACCCATCTTGACGAGTATCCTCGGCAGACTCAGATTGATTACTACCTTCCTGCAGCGTGCTCAGGAGGTCTCCTGCTATTTGCCAAAGAGCTTCGTCTATTGAAAGCTCTTGAGCTTTTGCAAGGGCTTGCGCAGCAGTTTCTGCAGTGCCGATCGATCCTCCTTTCTTGGTCATCTCCTTTCCTTCCGTTGTAGATGGCCGAATCCTGGCACGTCAAGGATTCAAAAGTCGAGGAGAAAGCTTGAAAGCGGACCGAAAGGAACCATATGCTTGCGCCAGGTGGTTTCTAGCTGCGCGAAACAACTCGCCTAGAAGCTTCTCCTAAATGCTCTCAAAAGCAATACAACTTGCCTGCGCCTGTCTTTGTACCTTGTGCTAGGAGAGGATTGGCGCTTTGCAACAGAAAGAATGAAGGCTTTCTGCTCCGAAATATGAGGAGATATGCGCCCCTTCCTCCTAAAGATGATCATTGAATACTAATCCGACTCGACACGGAGGACGACTTTCTGTCGTCATGTTGCAGAACTGAATCAAAGCAGCAGATTGCAGATCAGCTTCTTGCTTAAAGAGGGCGCGCGTGCGCTGTTAGAAAGGCGCCAGGTTGGAAGGGACGCCATCCAGAAACTCCTCTGAAGAGACCCGTCTCAGTTACGAACATGAAAGGACCAACCAGAGGACGACGACAGGCCAACTGCTTTTGTCGCAAGCGATTCATGCACGAATAGGACCAAACTGGAAGTCCTTTATAAGAGACTCTGGGTGGCTGCTGCCAAAATGCTGATGAAAGAGACGGGTCATCCCCACACCAGACAAGCAATGATGGCCACACAAGATCCAGCGCCGATTTGAACCGCCAACTTTCTGGCACATGCACACTGGTTTTCAGTTAGACAATAACTACAGCTCTGTGAGAACGGAGACGCGACAGGCTGGCAATGAACGAAAGGGCCAATAATGCAGAACACGTTGCTCCGACTCTCTTGAACTGAGACTTCGGATATCTGGCGGGTCAGTTTGTCGCTGGGAGTTCACGTGCTTCACTGGAGAAGAATCTCCTTGGAGGATCTTACATTTCGGGACGAGTCGAGTTTTTTCCTTGACGATCACGTGACACAGCTCAGTTGGACTGAGAGAATCCGATCCTCTTGTTGAGAGAGACTCCAGTGACGTCGTTCTGACGATGCGGCGAATCAGCAATAGAAGGCTGTGGTCACTTCGAATTGGATAAGTGCAGACTGCACCTCGTACGGGTGTTGATGAATTGGACATGCACGTCCATATTTTGAGGTCGAAATATACCTAAGCATTTTGATTCCTCACGAAAGTTGACGCAGAAGCAAACGCACTTCGAGACGCCTTCGAGACGCATGGTAGTCCGTCATTACGCATGGAGAAGCGACTCCGTTCGTTGCGGCTCGCGCACATTGCATGCAACATCGGTCAGCCGTTCAAGCGCTGCTTCGCAAGACTCCCTGCCCCGTTGACGATCTCGGGTTAGCTCGACAAGACGCAGGAGAGCTCACTCGACGCAAAGTCGAGGATTAAGCGAAGTTTGTTACGGTGTAACAACTTCGCCGGTTTGCTCTCAAATCAGACCCATTCCGCGCAGCTCGAGAAGCAAGTGCTCTGCGCGCTTGAGAATTGAGTGCTGTAGCCTGGAGGACGAGCGCGAGGCGCGCCTTTGCTTATCGCATCCTTAGTTTCTGATGGGCAGTCTTCAGCTTTGATCTGAGAAGCTTTGTGTCAAGCGGGAGGGAGCCAATAACTTCCGCGGATATCACGGCACGCAGCTTCGCGAAGAACCCTCAGTCTGCAGTCTGAAGGTGCACAAGAAGACTTCCTTCAAGCACATAGATGTTGACTATATTGGGGACATGCAACGTCGCATCGTTTTGGCACATCAATCATTGCTGTCTGAGCCAATCTTACATAGATTACCGCACGCCCTTGCGCTTTCAACATGCGTTTGCGCATACAGCCAGATGAGAACTCCGGTTGGCGGCCATCGCATTGATGTACGAGGCGGGGCCCACGTTTTTACACTGCAACGTAACAGCTATTACTTTTTTATCGCATTGATCATGCAACGAAGCTCGCGAACCTTAGCATACACGGAGGCTATTGCAATTAACTTCCCTCTGACTCTCGATCAGATTGAAGCCATGCAGTAGGCTAATGGATATCGCCGATCTAGCAGGCGCAAAAATTTAGACGGCACCCGTGGCCTAATTGCCCATGCGAAGTCGGTCAAGCTGCGGACCCGTTTGCCCGGCTCCGAAGGTTCGACTTTTGTGTAATTAAAATGGCGTGCAGTCGGTGTTGACAAGCGCCGGAAGCTTCAATTAGCGACGCCGCATATGTTGCGTTCACATCTTGCAGAATCCTGGTCCATCTAGCAACTTGCAATGAGACATCCAAAACGCCAGGAAAAACTAGGACTTCCTCCTTTATTGAACGGCACCGGCCACGTATTTATATAATATCGTCACTATTAGTCTGCTGGATCCTCGGCTTGCAATTTCTCTTAAGTCCTTTTGAGTACATAATGTGCCTTTGATCCATCTGGAATGGGAGTATGCACCTTTCAAATTAGCCGAACACCCTGCGCAAAAGTTTCTCGCAGTAGACTAAACAAACACCTCTAAAACCCCCGGTCAACGAGTAAGCGGCCATCCAATAGAATGTCTATCTGATCGCCAGGCTGGTTACAAAACGCTTAAGCGAAAGCCTAGACTTTCCAATCAAGGTAAGCTACGAAGCCCCTTTATTTCGCAAGGTAGCAGTACGAAACTCTTGTCTACTTATCCTCCCTGTTCATTGCGCGGACTCTGATAGGCAGCCCGTACAGCTTGATGAACCCGGCGGCATCTGCCTGGTCGTAGATGTCGTTGCCCTCCTCGAACGTGGAGATGTCTTCCCGGTACAGGCTGTTGACGCTTCGCCGGCTCGCAACCGAGATGCTCCCCTTGTACAGCTTCAGCTTGATGGACCCCGTGCAGCACTTGGTGACCTCCGTCACGAACGCGTCGAGCGCCTCGCGCAGCGGGTCGAACCACCGGCCCGCGTACACGAGCTCAGCGTACTTGAGGGCTATTTGGTCCTGTCAAAAACGAAGAGAACACTCCGCTGAGAACGAGAAGGAACTGGAAAAGGTTTCTTGTCGCTTTTGTGACCGTCAGTCCCAGCAGCAGTGCAGACAGCAGAGGCAAAGGTACCTGAAGTGGCGTATTTTCTGCGAAATTTGAATTGGCCCACAACTGAACGACGGTTTCGAAAGGCTGCCAGGAAGGAAGAGCAACTTCCATTCTACGACCTGCGGAAGCGAACCATTTTCTAAACATGCAGCCCTGACGAGACCGCCAACAAGACAGCTCGTAGTGCCCATAAAGAAAAGGCTTGACAGCGGATCAACGTGATGATTGCCCCACGCAGAAACTGCAGACGTTCGTGATACGATGCCCACATCTGGGCAGCGGACTGCCCACCTCATGCGAGAGCTCAAAACCCCGAAGGGAAAGGTAGCTTACCTTGTACTGCATGGTCTCCCTGTCGAGTGTTAGAGACTCGAGCTCACGGGCCGCTGCCACTAGGATCGTGCCACCTGGCGTCTCGTATACGCCGCGGCTCTTCATGCCCACCAACCTGCAGGACCACGTCAGTGTCAGTCAAGAATACGGGACTCATTCGTGGCAAAGGGAAACATGGTGACGAACGAACACTGCGAAAGTGTCACAAGGTTATGGGGACCATCCGAGCAGACGGGCTCCGTTTGGGTGCCCTTTTCAAGGTGCAAACAGGCTCTTAGAAATCCGGCCTTCAACTTTCCGAAGCTCGTCTGTATGGACGAATGCAACCGGCCGCGATCGCATGCAGAAATGACTGACAGAAGCCCTTTCAGTTCGAGCAGCGAAGGGTAAAGTCGCGACGTTGAGTCCAGCCCTGCCGCCCACCTGCTCGCATGCAACCATCTGCAGAAAACCACCGCGACAACAATCGAAAGCGTCGCGGCCGCTCACCTGTTCTCGACCATGTCGCATCGGCCAATGCCGTGCTTGCCCCCAAGGTCGTTCAGCTTCGTCAACAGCTGCGCCGGGGAGAGCTTCTCCCCGTTGACACTGACGGGCGTCCCCGACTCAAAGTCGATCTCGACGTACTCGGGAGTGTCAGGAGCGTCCTCGGGATCCACGGTCAGGACGTACATGTCCTTCTTGGGCTCGTTGGCGGGATCCTCCAACACGTCACCCTGCGATATAGGCAACATTAAAATCAGGTCAATACGATGACAATCAATCCACGTCCTCTCTCGGGTTCTCACTTAATGTCTTGACAAGAAGGTGGCGACTTGCCTTTCCAAGGACAAACGGCTGAATAAGAGGGGAATATAATCACATATGCCAGCCGCAAACTCGGAGCTCGAGTACTATGAGCAAGAGGGCAAGGAAGCAGTCCTATTTGGTCGATTAACGGGCACGTTCGCTGAAATGTTTTCCGAACTCGCCAAGGAAGACACCCAGACTCGTTCTAGGACGAGACCCTTTTTGATGCATGCTCATGTCTCAGCAGAACCAAGTGGGCTTACCTCGTGGCTGATGTGCCACAGGTTGCGGTCGCGGCTGTAGATCGACTTTTTGGTGACTGGGACAGGGATGTTGAACTTCTTGGCGTACTCGATGGCGTCTTCTCTGCCCTTGATATCCTGCAGAATAAGTTGTAGATGGTTAAGGTACGAATGATCGTCGAGACACGATACTCGCTGTAAGGAGTGTTGTTCTGTGAACAAACTATCTTTTCAGAGGCTTAGGCCAGCATCTCGCATGCCCCTGCGTATTGAACTCGACTCTATCTGTTCACAAAAGCTAATGAAGCCAGCGTCGGCGACTTTCCCATCGCGATTTGCACGCGGAAACGACATCATTGCGGGTGCACGTCCAACGGCCTTGTATATGACAGGCGCTACTGCTGACTCTGCGGAGTTGAGATGAAGAAGAAGGACACCGACTTTGTAGATGGCCGCCTACTCAAAATTCAGAATTCAGAAGAGGGAGGGGAAAGACTCCCCTTACCCACTCTCTCCAGGGAGCGACGACCTTGAGCGAAGGGTTGAGCGCGAAGAACGTCAGCTCGAAACGGACCTGAAAGAGGGTTCACAAGGAACATGTTCACATTCGCCTGTCCGTTCAATCGCTCCTGTCCAAGGAAATAAGAGCAACGCAAGCACCAAACCGGATGTATGAATCTGCGGCTTGAATAGCAGGCGCCCAATTCAATGCTCAAGAAAGAAGGCTCGAAGGCTCGGTGAATGTTCCGCAAATCAAATCCCCATCGAACGAAGCTTGCTGAACGAGCAGAGAAGCATCAATTGGTGACTAGAGAGAAAAAGCAGGGGACATGTGGAAACTGACCTGATCGTTTCCCTTCCCCGTGCAACCGTGAGCAACAGCATCGGCGCCCACCTCCCGAGCAACGTCGACCATGGCCTGAAGAAAAGCAAGCGTTTGAGACACCCTTCGAAGTTCCAAGAACCTCCAATTCATCCCAGGAAAACCCCAAAAGGCCCGTACTTACACCTTTCCCTCACGTCAGTTTTTGCTCAAGAACGAAATAGTGCTGAAGCAAGGCCGAGACTTCGACGACTTCCCTCCTTATCTCGAAAGCTACATGATCTGCCTTCTATCCTTTTACTCCTGAACACGGAACAGTGGTGCCTTTCGTCTTCGTTGGTCACGAGAACTTTGGACCGATGCGAGCAGATCCAGGCGAGCCGGAAATTTTGAGGACTACCAAAGGATCAAGTCGCTTTGGCATTACGGCAAGAGAAGAGTCAATTCTCCGTCGGACTCGTTTTGAGCGGGACGGTACCTTAGCAATAATTGGACGGGCCATCGACGTCCCCAGCAGATACTTGCGCTCATAAACGGCCCCCGCCCTCACGCACGGGAAGATGTAGTCCCTGACAAACTCTTCCGTCAGGTCGCCTGGCAAGAGAGCGAGTCGATTCATTTAGATGAACTATTTCTGGACTGTAACCACAGCAGCCAGCATTGCCAAAACGTCCTCGAATCGGAGTTGGAGTCGCACTTTGCTCTGGCTGCCCCACGTTTCCAGACAACTCAGAGCCGCTTTAGTTACTGCACCTTCCAGACAACGCAAATTCGGATATTATAACCCAGGCTTACCACATCAGTGTTATTAGGAACTCATGTAAAGGTGGATTCTGGTATGCGGAATTTTCAAGCTTCGAAGGGTCGAGATCTGCAGGCTTACCCACAACCAGCTTGCTGGCTCCGCTTCCGAGCGCCTTCTTCTCGAGGCCGTCCGTCTCCCCGACGCCCTGGCCCACGTCCGCAGTGAAGCACACCACCTCGCAGCCGTAGTTCTCCCTGTTGAAGAAGTTGAATGCTTCAGAAGGTCGACACAATGCAAGGATGTGCTACCGAAGACGGGCTGGAAGGTTTTGTCAATAGCATACGGAGCGCCAGAGGCGAACGAGAATGTCAAGCGACACAGGGGCCTGTTGCTCAGGTTCGTACCAAGGATATGCCGGTTTGAAGCAATGAAATAGAGCATATGAAAAGCTCGTAACTTGCCAGTCAAACGATTGGTCAGGATTCTCAAAGATGCACGTAACGTGCACAACTTTAGTCCATTAGTGTGTTGCTGTGGAGCTGATGAGCCTGGGGCTTACTTGAGCCAAGGAACAATCACCGATGTGTCAAGTCCACCGCTGTATGCAAGAACCACCTTGTTCAGCTTGCCTCGTGTCCCGGTCTTGACCTCCGTCTGGGGCGCAGCAGCCGCAGCAACAGAGACTGCAAAAGTAGGACGGAGGTCTACTCAACTTCAATTGGACCTTTCAGTCCACTGGTTACTAAAGTTCGCTAGAAAGGCAGCACACTGACTTGTTGTGGGCAGCATGTCGCCTCGAAGGTCCGACTCTCTGAGTCCCTATAAGGAGAAAGACTCACGAGGACTGCCACACTGCCCCGTCACCTGAATTACATGAAGAAAGGCCCCAAAGATGGCACTGCAAAGCTTCCGGAGTGAGCTTCTGACATAATGCACAAAGGGCAACACATCGGCACAGCATTTCAACCCACTTCTTCTCTCTGCGCCACCCGACTTCCAACAAATAGCCAGAAGGCAGTGACTTGAGTTTTGAATGCCTAACTTTGACCTTGGTCTTCTGTGTTACTGTCAGGCGCCTCACACACTGGACGGATACTAGGTAAAGCATCAAGAATCAGCGTTTATTCCCACACAGCCCCCAGCACAGCGAGATAGAAGTATACCACCACTTGTCGTATCCTGCCATTCACCATGTCTCAGACAATCACCTGCATGATGGCGGTGCGCCACCTTCTTCACAGGAAGGTCTACAGAGGTCGCCAGATGGAGGCCGGTCACTCTGCTTGATGCAGAGAAGCCCAGGCCTTCAGCCTACCAAGGAAGGATTAGTGGCAATCAGTGCAAGGTTCCAGGAAATATAGGGTTGGCCTTGTAACCAGGTGATTGGCCAAAGTCAGCGTGATGGTGCCTGGTGGCTGAAGGAATCCACCGGTGTTCCACAGCAGCAAGCCGCCTCCATGATGGGGGAAGTGGTCGCAAGGTTTACTTTTAAAATTTGTCCATCAAGAAGGTGATGCAAACGATCTGATGGAATATCTTGCAAGCGTTGAGAGCCGATCATACAACAGATGCTGTTTGAAACATAGTTGCAGCACCTGATTCCAAAATTGGTAAAATACTGACAGTGAATCATTTCAAGATAGGAAAAGCTGCACCATTACCAGATCTGTTGGCAGAGATGGACGTAATAGCACACTGCCATTTTGTCTAGGATGCAATCAAAGACAAATTTTGTGTTGCATTAACCCACATTTTGACTGCCCTTTCAGAGCAATTTCAAGATCTGCTTGTGACAAGCTAAGTTCTTAAGCCAGCTGGCCACCAGGTACAGAGATCAGGCGTAGACTTGTCTTTCACACACAGGCTGGACATGATCTCAAAAGAATGTGAGCTAAACAAGAACTGTGTGATTGAGCAATTGGAGTGAATTAGACTCAGTCAGCACAACAGTTCCGCATTGATTACCTTGGGCAACAACACTGGCATGCCTCTGGCCTTCGCAGACTGCTGGCATTGTGTTGCACCTCCGAGAACCGCCTGTACTTTGATCAGAGAGGCAGACGCAGTCGATGCCATTGTGGCTGTAAGCAGAGAATACAAGCAGCGTTCTTGCTTTGGTTCCTGAACAATGCCCTTGAGATTTGCAGCCCTGAAATGGAAGAAGCGGCTCTTGATGTGGATCAAGAGGTCACAGCATTGCACTTTTCGTCCACCATGGATGAAGGGGCCAGCCAGGCTGTTTGCAGCGCATGCTGTCTGTCACAATACCTCGATTCTCAAAGGGCCTCAACCGTTCAATTCAAAATCCATCGGACGGTCCACAAGAACTACCGGTCAGTCTTCTATCGACGGTCGGAAGGCACCGAGATGGGCAGTACTCCATCGACGGCTATTAGATGAGCAGCGTCGTCGCATAACCAATCATGTGCCCCCAAGATAAGCCCGCCGCTATCGGACCGTCCATGTTCAGCCCCGCAGTTTCGAACCGCAGAGTCGATGACGTAGACGGCACAGCGAAGATTCTACATGACCCGAGTGCCTTCTAAGCGTATCCATACCGTCGGTTTTTCAGCATGGACGGCTTCGATCGTATCGTCTTTGGGCCGGTTGATCACCCCAAGTCTGAGTCGCAAGTCGATTTTTCGACCTTGAAGTTGCAGGGGGCAGATTGAAGAGCTTCTTCCTCGCTTTCTCGAGCTCAAAATCTTGTTGCTGCGTGCGCTTTTCAGGCCCTTCAAGTTGGCGGAGTCTAGCCTGTGTAGGACAGACTCTTGGAGACTCGGAGGCCTGGAGGAGTTTTTGGCGCCTTTTGGTTGGTTCAAAAACCTTTCTTGTAGATAGACATTCGCTGGCGTGAAGCGAAGCGGCCCAGCAACATCTGTGCGACTTAGGTTTATTTGAAGCGGCCAAGCGGGAATCTTGTAGGAGGTTTGCGACTTTAGTCAGCAGGTTACAATGACGTCGTCTTTGGTCAGGGCTGGGCTGCAGTCTGGGCAGCTATCCCTTAGCAGCTCGCTTGGCCTCCAGCAGCAGACATGCCAGGGTGCGCCTCAGGCCGCGCTCGTGCGCATGTCTGCCACTCGGCGACCGAGGAGGAGCGCTCCTGCCAGGTCTCTGGAGTCCTTTTCAGGGATGCGGAAGGCGAGCGTTGTTGATGTCGCAGGGGCTAGGGGTGTACAGTCAGCAGACTTGAGAGCAGCGGTGGCTGCCTCCATGGAGGCTGTGCCTGTGGGGAGGCAGGCTGGCAGGCGGGGCGAGACAGTGGCCATGTTCGAGCGGTTCACAGAAAAGGCCATCAAGGTTATCATGCTAGCGCAGGAGGAGGCACGGAGGCTAGGGCATAACTTTGTTGGAACAGAGCAGATCCTGCTGGGGTTGATTGGCGAGGGCACGGGGATTGCTGCGAAGGTGCTCAAGTCCCTGGGGGTCAACCTTAAGGAAGCCAGGGTGGAAGTGGAGAAGATCATCGGGCGGGGGAGTGGTTTCGTGGCCGTGGAAATTCCTTTCACTCCAAGGGCAAAGCGGGTGCTGGAGCTGTCCCTGGAAGAAGCACGCCAACTGGGTAAGCAACCTCCTAGCAATTGAGCAATTGTTATGAGCAGGCTTGATGGCCATCATCCTTGTTCAGAAAGACCATATCCGATGCTTTAAGGGTCAAGAAAGTGGTGTGTCGGTGTTTTCTTCCCTGGCCATTACCAGGTGCACATGAGCAACCTACATTTTGCCCTTGAGCTTTTCTTTGCGTGATTTTTCGCAGTGTAGTCAAGCAATGCTGAGGCTGTTGGCGCCTCTAAGAGCCTCAGAAATGGACAAGAGCTTTGGAACTGGAAAAGAAGGGATTCATTAGTAGTCTTCCTAAACTTGAAGCTCCCTGCCGAAGGAGTGTCTTCTGGATATCTGGTCGTGTCTGCTAAGGCAGGCAGTTTCTTAGGGTTGTCTGGGGCCACTTGTTGTGATTGTTTGCATTCATGGTGTACGTTAAGAATAATTGCTGAGAGTTTGCAATCTTGTTGCAGCAAGAGCACGCAGTGCTTTGCATTTTTGTCAGAGGTCAGAAGCAAAGACCTGTGAGTCCTCCTCCAGGGTCATGTATGCTTGAGCACCTTGAGATGTGCCTAGTATTGGCCACAGTTTCAGACTTTTTGAACACCATCCTTTGCAGGCCACAATTACATTGGGACCGAGCACTTGCTTCTTGGGCTGCTTAGAGAAGGGGAGGGCGTCGCTGCCAGAGTGCTGGAGAACTTGGGAGCTGACCCTGGCAACATCAGGACACAGGTAGAGATCGGAACCCTTTGAAAAGAAGGTTCGAGACCAATTTGTCATGAGATTGCTACAAAACTGCTACACTGGTAATGGTTGATCTAGGCTTTTCGGGCGGTTGACTTTCTGGTGACTGTGTGGGCAGGATCTCTTCTAGAAGAGGCTTTGTTCGATCTTCACATATTGTGGCCCGTCTAGTTAGTGCTCAAGCTTCCTTGCAGCTTGATCAATTGCAGGGCCTTTGCTTTTGTAACACCAGGATTTGGTTTGTTGAGATTCATATTAAGGGTAGCAATACCTCTTCTGGATGCAAGAATAGCACCAGTTTTGTTTGGTGCAAGAAAATGAGCACGGCGTCTGGCAGCTGACGTGATGCAGCTGCAGAACAGCGGCTTGCCTGCAAGCAGAGCTGTTGGCATCTCATCTGCAGTGCATCAGAGCAGCACAGCACTGTTTTTGTTTGTGCAGCGATGGTGAAATTGGTGTTTGTTGTGCAGCGAAGATGAAAGTGGTGTTTGTTCTGCGATGACGAAAGTGGTGTTTGTTTGTGGAGCAATGATGAAAGTGGTGGTCAACTTTGCAGGAGCAAGTGGAGGTGGCGGGTTTTCAACTTGATTTGTACTCTGCAGGTCATCCGGATGGTTGGTGAGAGCGCTGAGCCCGCGGTTGGCGTGGGCGCCGGCGGCGTGTCTGGGAATACCAAGATGCCGACGCTGGAGGAATATGGCACAAACCTGACAAAGCTTGCTGAAGATGTGAGTTGTTGTTGTTTTCGCTGCACATGTTCAGTTGCACAGCAGCTGCAGTACTTCTTTGTTCCTTTGAAATAGGGTCTCTTGCTGCAGAGTGGATGAAGAGTGGTCTAGAGTCGGGCACTGAATACAGAATTGTTGATTATTATACAGTACGGCACAATGTGATGAAGTCTGTGGTAGGATGCAATGTGTTGCTGCTTCTGTTTCACTGGTCCCACTTTTGAAAGTGGCGCGGAAGGAAACTCTGGGGCTTTTTGGAGTGCAACACGTCCAGATGGCAAAAGAAGCACTAACGAGGACTCTCGTAGTTCGCTTCTTTGATGTTCTTGGCATTGAGCAATTCTGTGGCAGAAAGCTTTTTTGGTTCTTAGCGATGTACTAGCTGCTTTGCTTGGAGCAAGCACTTGGTACAGTTGTTCTCCAGCCATATGTTCCGCTCTGTATCTCTCTGCTGGCGCCTAGTATGCACTTCCTTGGTTGTGTAGGGTTTCTCTTTGAGCAGCTGTTAGACAAAAGTTAGGCACCTCTGCATCAGCAGATCGTTGTCACTACATTTCAACTACTAATTAGTCAAAGCTCGCCTTCAATTGTGCTTTTAGCTACCTTTTTCAATGCAGTATACTGTGGTGGAGTGTTTTCTGGTCACAGATGATCCATCCGCGCTGCACTTTTCCCTCACCTAAGTTACAAATGCCTACTGCACTATACGTTGCACTTCCTCTTAGCAAATCAAAACCCTCTTGCTTGCAGGGCAAGCTTGACCCTGTGGTAGGCAGGCAGCCCCAGATTGAGCGTGTCACCCAGATCCTCGGCAGGCGTACGAAGAACAACCCTTGCCTGATTGGCGAGCCCGGTGTCGGAAAGACCGCCATTGCTGAGGGGCTGGCTCAGAGGATTGCCTCAGGAGACGTTCCCGAGACAATTGAGGGCAAGAAGGTCATCACTTTGGACATGGGTCTGCTGGTGGCTGGTACAAAGTACCGAGGAGAGTTTGAGGAGCGGCTGAAGAAGCTGATGGAGGAGATCAAGGCCGCGGATGACATCATCCTCGTGATTGATGAGGTGCACACGCTCATTGGTGCGGGTGCTGCAGAGGGCGCCATCGATGCGGCCAACATTCTGAAGCCCGCTCTGGCGCGTGGAGAGCTGCAGTGCATTGGTGCCACCACGCTGGACGAGTACCGGAAGCACATTGAGAAGGACCCTGCCCTGGAGCGGCGGTTCCAGCCTGTGACAGTGAGATTACTCAAACGATTATTTGTTGGATGGATTTTGGAACATGTCAAGCAACGAGTTTGGAGAAGGTCATTGCTGACAGGCGATGATGTACATAACATTCTGCGGCAATTTTGTTCCTGGGAAGGAGCTGGTGGTTGCCTTACAGGCTTTTATCCATCTGGTCGTGTAGTCTCGCCAGAGATGGAACGTTATCAGCGCTTTAGGTTGCATGAGCTGCAAAATGTAGACAAAGGAAACATACAAGCGGCAAGAAATTTCGATAAGTGAGACTTGTACTCAAAGCTTTTTTTCTTTCACAGGTTCCCGAGCCGTCTGTGGAGGAGACAGTGGAGATCCTGAAGGGCCTGCGCGAGCGGTACGAGATTCATCACAAGCTGCGCTACACCGACGAGGCGCTTGCCGCCGCCGCGCAGCTCTCCTACCAGTACATCAGCGACCGTTTCCTGCCCGACAAGGCCATCGACCTCATCGACGAGGCTGGGTCCCGCGTGCGCCTGCAGCATGCACAGCTTCCCGAGGAAGCGCGCGAGCTCGATAAGCAGCTCCGTGCGCTGACCAAGGAAAAGAACGACTCTGTGCGTGACCAGGACTTTGAGAAGGCGGGCGAGCTGCGGGACAAGGAGATGGAGCTAAAGACGCAGATTGCAAACATCATTGAGAAGAGCAAGGAGGGGCAGAAGGCGGAGCTGGAGGCTGGGGATACCGGCCCGATGGTGACGGAGGCGGACATTCAGAAGATCGTGGCGGCGTGGACGGGCATCCCTGTGGAGAAGGTGTCGGCGGACGAGGGCGACAGGCTGATGAAGATGGAGGTGAGGGGTTGTGAAGTTGGAGGCAGACTTCCGCTTGACACTTAGTATCTCGTGCAGTAGAGTTGTGTGCAGCTGTGTGTGGAGGGTTGGTTCCGTTTTTGGTCCTTGGGTATAGGACAATGAGGCGCGTTTCTGACTGGATGCCATGTGTGGTTGCTGAGACAACTACGAGTTCTCGAGGCTTCTTGAGGCACTGCTTCTGAATGTCAGGTTGCTCTGCTCAAAATTGTGACGGGTATTATTTTTGCAGATCTTTGTGCTGAAGCTTTTGTCCTCTGTTTGTGCAGGGAACGCTTCACCAGAGGGTCATTGGTCAGGACGAGGCCGTGAAGGCTATTTCTCGTGCCATCCGGCGTGCGCGTGTGGGTCTCAAGAACCCCAACCGGCCCATTGCCAGCTTTATCTTCTCTGGGCCTACTGGTAAGTGCTTGCATATAAGGTGACCGGTCTAGTCTGCGTGCAGCATCACAAATTGAGTGACTGCTTTGAGGACGTTGTACGTGCCAGCTTTGGTTAGGCTTTGCAAAATGAATCTAGTGCTCGCATGTCTATGTCATGCTCCATTCCTACCTCATGCTCTAGGGCGTTGCCAGCGGTCTCTTGTGGTCAGAACCAAAACAGTCTATTCTTCTGCTATTGCTTAGAAACCGAAGGCTCAGCCTGCCCTTCTTTTGTATCAAAACACAAGCATGGCTTACACCTGCGTCATACACTGCCAGGTGTCGGAAAGTCCGAGCTGGCCAAGTCCTTGGCCTCTTACTACTTCGGGTCAGAGGAGGCGATGGTGCGTCTCGACATGTCCGAGTTCATGGAGCGGCACACGGTGTCCAAGCTGATTGGGTCCCCCCCCGGTTACGTTGGCTACAGCGAGGGCGGCCAGCTCACGGAGGCGGTCCGGCGGCGACCATACACCGTCGTGCTGTTCGATGAGATTGAGAAGGCGCATCCCGATGTGTTCAACATGATGCTTCAGGTGGGTGCTCGGAAGTTTGGATGGGAATCCATTTATCGAAGAGCGTGGCAGGAGAGTGGGACCAAGCTGGCAAGGATGGATTACAAAGATGTGCATCCAAGTCTGCAATATCAAGGCCGGTTCGTGTATCCGAGAATGTCGATGGGTGTTCGGCTTTCAGATGACAACTAAGGACGTTTCTCAAACCTTTCACACAACTAAATAGTGAAAAGCGATAAATAGTGAAAGCGACAAGTCGACCCTCGCTGTTTGCAACATTGCTGAGGAGGAGAGATAGGTCAAGTTCGTGAGTCCTATTGATTTTCTGACTTCGCTGTTTTTAGAGGGACGGTGAGCTCACTGTTGAATCTGCTGCCTGCAGATTCTCGAAGACGGGCGGTTGACGGACTCGAAGGGGCGGACTGTGGACTTCAAGAACACGCTGCTGATCATGACCTCCAACGTGGGCAGCAGCGTCATTGAGAAGGGCGGCGGTGGCCTCGGCTTCCAGCTGGACAGCGACCCCGTCGACAGCAGCTACAACAGGATTAAGAACCTGGTAAGCTTGGCACTTGTCTTGTTTGATTGCTCGACCTCGCTTGTCATCTTTTCAATGTAACGTCATCATTTGCAGTCTGTGGGATTCTCTGACGGGATGAGAATTCAAAGAGTTAGAAAGAGTTGGTTTTGTCCATCATTCGTTGATGATTTGAACAATGATTTGAACGATGAAAGAAAGCAAAGCTCTTCAGACTGAGGGAAGAAAAGCCATATGAGAGGGTGGTGTTGTGTTTTGTGGTGGTGGATGTGCTTGAGAGCTTGTTTTTTAAGAGCTCCACACATGGCCCCTGTTACCTAAGAGATCTGGTCTCGTTTCCTTTCTATTCCTGCGGGTTGCTTAGCGTCTATCTGGCCTGATAGAAGATTCAGTATCTTGCAACATGAAATGCACACTCTGACGTGTCGTTGCCTGGTGCTTCTGCAGGTGAACGAGGAGCTGAAGCAGTACTTCCGGCCCGAGTTCCTGAATCGGCTGGACGAGATCATCGTGTTCAGGCAGCTCACCAAGCTGGAGGTCAAGGAGATTGCCACCATTATGCTCAAGGAGGTCTTCGGCCGCCTTGAAAAGAAGGGCATTGACCTCCAGGTAAGCCTCCTGAAAATCTGTGACTCCAGCTTGTAGCGCGCCCTTCTTCTTGCGGAGGGATCGAAGCCCGATCATGCGTTAATTTGCAGAGGGAACCGACGTACGATTGGGGCTTCTGCAGTTCGTTAGTGGCCTGTGAATAATGGACTTGTGCAGGCCAGCTGTGGGTTTGGAAGGGTCACTTGCATTTCCGGAGTTTTCCTGGAGGAGGCACGAGTTTACGACTCTGTAGAGAAGAGTCGTCAGTCGTCCTCAAGATATGCTTCGAGCGTACGTTTCTCCTTTCCCTTCTTCCAAGTCGCACCCCTACGGCCTGATCTGGCATTCTCCAATTGCGACCCCCAATGTGCGCGTCAGCAAGCGCAAGCACTTACTGATTTCTACTGGTGCAGGTCACGGAGAGGTTCCAGGACCGCGTTGTAGATGAGGGGTACAGCCCCAGCTACGGAGCCCGGCCGCTGAGGCGTGCAATCATGCGACTGCTGGAAGACAGCATGGCGGAGAGGATGCTTTCCGGCGAGATTAAGGAGGGCGACTCCGCCATCATCGATGTTGACGCCAGCGGAAACATCACGGTGCTCAACGGCAGCACTGGCACCGCCTCCACCATCGAAGTAGATTCACAGCCTGCTGGCATCGCATAAGGTCGAAGAGCCCACTAGCGATAATACTTTTGCACGGGCAGGCTAGGTTAGCGCACTGGAAAAGAGCGGGTGTCTGGGCGGTTGGTCTGTAATAAGGGCATGTTAGCTTGGTCTGCCCGTGCTCATTGCGAGGGGGACGATTGATATCCATTCTTGACAACTTTCAAAACAGCAAATCTGACTGGATGGCATAGGAGTCTTGAAGGACGTCCAAGGTAGTTGTGCAATATGTAGTTTATGGAGCGTGACCATTGAAACCACGTCTTCTTGTTGGACCGATTTGCGCCTTATGCCAAGGGTACTTTATAACATGTCAGTGCTTGGGCTGGAATTCGTGGGCGGTTTTCATGCAAAATGGAATCGTTCTTGTCGTTGATAACATACCTTACAGGTGTGCCCTGCATCTTCGACCCAACATATACCCTTTCAGGATGTTGGTCATAAGATATGACGGTCGATTCACAACCAGTATTGTCGGTGAAAGATTGTTTCAATACTTTCAGCACTTTCGTTGAAGCCGGAGGCTACATATACAATGGCCAATGCTGAGGCTTTCCCAAGCCGGCTGGACTGGAGCTGTTTACATGCATGTGCATCAGTGAGACCTGCTTGCAGACGTCAATAGCTCATATACGTAGTCCAAAACACAATAAGAAAGATATATGACCTCGTGGTCTGTATACCTGATAGTTACTCAAGAAGAGTGACAAAAGCAGTCATGCAAGCTCGGCAAACCCGCCCAGCTTGTCTGGGGATAGCTGGGCCACCGTGCTCTTTCATTACGGTCGGACGATTGCTTCGTGTCTGCTTGTGTCCATCAAAGAGGAGTCGGTACGCACTCTTACCTTCTCAATGCGCGCGCATGGTCAGGGCGCTGCAAAGAGCAAGCTATTCGATGCACAACGACTACAGTAAGTTTTGTCATGCAGTTACGTCAGCCAGACTCCACTGCCACGGGTTTCAGTGTTTAAAATTGACGGATTGACGGGATGACAGATCCATGGACTGCTCAAGACTCGGAGTCTTTCAAAACTGGTCAAGCCGGTGACCCGGGACCAGCTTACCTGATAGCACTTGCTTGTTGGATGTTCTACATGTGCTCTCCTCGAGATTGAGCTCGGGCCGCCGTTGTCTATCGCCAAGAAGCCGCGGAGCAAGCTCGGCTCTCGTGGGAGGGGTTCCCTTTTTCCTGGGTCCAGCGTTGCGGCAGAAGCAAACCAGAAGAAAGGGTCACACAATTTGAAAAAGAGCTCTGCATCAGATGCGGTCCCCGAGATGGAGGGCCAGACGAGTTAGGGCCCTGGATCCTTCTCAGGTCTTAATGAAATATCGACGCAAGTACAGCACGTGACGGGCAATCCTTTAGCTGGTCATTGCTGGTAAGCGTTGCATCGAACCTATTTGACCTTCCCACCGTCAACTAAAGGGATTTTCTTGGAAGCAAATGCCAAAGATCGGCCTAATTCTAATCTGAACTCCCCAGTCCTTTGGAAACCTTTTGGACCTTGGAGCTCGGGATGGTTTTTGTGACCCGCAGTAGCGATCTTGATTTCTGCTCTTCTATTGGTCTGATCCAGTTTAGGAAAGACTCCGGCCCGTCTTTAAGTGCAACTGGTGAAGCAGCGAATGGGGCATTTTGGAAATACAGCATGTACATGTAAAGGCGACAAATTCGAAATTCTGATGACGAGCATCATCGGCTCAAATCATCAGAAGCTGCTATTACAGGTTAATGCCTCAACAGGCAAGCTTTCATCGAGTCTCCGTGAAGCAATGTACAGTATACGTGAAGCAAGCTTGCTGATCTTGTTTGACTGCCATGGAGCATTGCGATGTGACCGTCTAAAAGTGTCCACCCCACGAAAAAAGTGCCCCTTAACGCGTCATTCAACTTAGGCGACTAAATTCGTCCCTCTTTTTTCCTCTGAGGTGTTCTCCGCAACGGCTCGCTTTCTTGACACTGCTCTTCCTGAGCATTGCATGGCTCGGTTCGAGAAAGCCCAATCTGTTTCCCCAATTGTTTGCAGATATTTGTTAAGAGAGTCCGCTGCTTTTCGCACCATGGCTGCAAATTCGGTCTTCGTCGGAGGCGTGCCGCCCATGTGCGCGAGCTCTGAGCTCGCGCTGAGCATTGTCCAGGCAATCCGCACAACCACCGGGCTCAAACCCAAAGAGTGCACGGCGCCCGAGCCGAAATTACCTGGCCGCGCGCGCTTTGCTTTCGTCACCTTTCGATCCGAAGAAGAAGCGCGCGAGTGCATCCGCTACGACCAGCACATCTACCTCGGGGGCGTGTCTCTGACGGTCAGGGCTCGCCGGAACGGAACGAGGCGAACGGAAACGGAAGAGGACAAAGTGAGACTAGACAGGGGGGTGCGGCTGGAGATGGGACATCTGACGGGTCCGAGAGAGGTTTGCGTGACGTGGAAAGCGAACGGAACGGACGGAACGGACGGATTGAAAGGGGCGCCCAAGGAAGTGGCTCTCGAAGCAGACTTTTCCGCCAGAAGATTGAGTCTGGTCGTGCGTTGCGCGGATCACGACCGGGGCTCGTCAACCGGGGAAGAACCAGAACCAACATCCCCCTTAGAGGAGGTTTTGGGACGGTTGCTCCATTCCGGGAAGAGAAGCCGGTCGGAATACAGATGGAGTTTCTCTTCCGTGATATTTCGGACGTCAGAGAGATAATGGGCCAACGGTCGGGGCAATGGAGGGCCGCCGTCGAAGGACTGATTATCGACGTCAGGAGCCCCCCCCGGTGTTTCTTCAGACTGGAAGCGGATTTAGACCCCCTAGTAGGGTACGTTTGCAGCGGCACTGGCAGCAGCCCACAGGCTTCCACGTGGCGGGAGGAAGACGAATGGTCCAGGACCGTCGATTTCACGGGCAACGACAGCATCGGACGGTCGTTCTGCTACGTCCTCTTCTTCCCTAACGACGAGACCAACCGAAAGATTGCCCGGGAGTTGTGTCGAGGGTTCGGCCGCTTCCATCTTTTGCGACACGCGGTCTCTCTTGACCAGCTCATTATGCGCGAGTGGGAGCACTGCAGGCGGGGCGCGGTCCAAACCCCGGAGGTTTCGTCGTTTCCGACAGTGCACGGCATCCGCGGCGTTCTGTTTCACCTCATGTTTCAGGTAAATTCAAATGCTCTGGGCTGCTTGCTTTTTGAATTGTTCCTATTTCTCCTGTATCTGCCTGGTCTTTTGCCTTCTGAGATTGATACAAACTGTGACAATGAAAGTTCATCTAAGAATTTCATGGGAGCCCATGCCACAACCATGGAATCGATTCTCAAAGCGACGGACACCTTTTTGAACAGTTTCCCTGATTCGGCTGAGCGCTAGATTGGTCGTTTGTTACGAAGCATCTGTTCTAAGCGAAGCATATGCCTCATATGGTACTGAGGCATGAACCTTTGACCTTATTCTAGTATGTAATGATTTGTAGCACCCGTTTGGAAGAATCGGCCATTCAAGGCAAACTTATTTCCTCTCGCGAACCCCGAAATCCAGCGCAAGAGAGCCATCACTCCACCTCAAAAGCGAGTCTCAAAATTCACAAGGAACGCCAATTGCAGCCACCCAATCTTTTTCTCGCATACAGGTGCAACAGCTTGTGCAACACGGGGTGGTTGCCGAGAGCGCGCTCGCACGCGACGCGCGCTTCTACGCGCAGCTCCTCCCCGCCTCGTGTTTTGAGGAACAGATCGCGGAGCGCGCGCTCAAAGAGATGGTGGGTAGTTCCGCCTACATTTTCCGCCCGGCGGAACGGCTCTCAGAGATCCGCCGGAAGCTCCGGAGGGGTGCACAACGACCGGTCGCTCTGCTCGACAAACCTGCCCCCGTCGCTCGTTTCCGTCAGGCGGTTAGAGGTAACCCCGACCAAGGTTTACTGCTTGGGGCCAGAAACCGGGTTAGCAAACCGGGTTACTCGGAAGCTGGGTGGGGCCGACCAGTTGATGCGTGTCACGTTCCGAGACGAGGGCGGTGGACAGCTGTCATCCCGAGCGTTGCAGTCAGACGAGTCCGAAGATAAGTGGAGCGATGGGGGAGCGATGTGTACCATCGTATCGAAGCTTTCCTGAGGGACGGCTTTGTTAGAAGTATTTGCGCACTGCCACTCGGGCTACACTGGCGCCAGTGTAGCCCGAGTGGCAGTGCGCAAATACTTCTAACAAAACTGCGGCGACCGGACTGGG